GTGGGAATCTTCCTGGCCGGCCAGGAATGGAACCTGCGCTGCAGAGGCTGCAGACATCTCCATAGCACAGTGCTCAACCAGCTGCACCACCAGGGAGGCCCTGAAAATGGGGCTCTTGTCTAATGAGCTGCATGATCTTAGCTGGTCCTTATCCTCCGTTTCTTCATATGACAATTGCAGTGATGTTTGAGATGTTTCCTCTGTTCTCCCATTGCATGAAGCAGCAGTGCATTCTAGTGGGGAAATGGTTGTTTTACCTGTTGTCATGATTTTTCATTTGAAAGAAAAATTCATAAACCACTCTTACAAATGAGTTACCACAAAAAGCAAGTGACATAAAACCCAACATTGGGCTCCAGAAATGATTCTAGAAAAGCTGGGGGGAAATACATGTTTTTACAGAATCCACTACCAGCAATCACAAATATACACCAATACACAACATGCCAGTTCCTTTTACAAACCTATAATCACATCATGAAACATCTGGTAATTTCCTTCAATATTCAGGACAGAATTAATGTACAGAACAGGTGGAACATGGACTTTGGAATTCAACAGGCTCATGCTGGAATTCCAGCCTCATCAAAGGATGTTCTTGGGGAAATGACCCTCTCCATACTTCATTTTTCTCAGCTATAAAGTAGCTTGACTAAAGCCTCTCTGCTAGGTTATTCTGGAGGCTAAGTGAGATCATATCTGGATTGTTGCCAGAACATGATAAGGGGCTTCTGGCTCAGAGTCCAGCGCACAGTAGGAGCTCACACATTGTTCATTTTCTTTGTTTTTATTAATAGCTCTGCTTTCTCTTAGCCAAGTCAAAATCAAGGGAAAAATGTGCCTGAGGTTTAAGGCACCGCGGACACACCAGCAAAGCAACGTCTTCAACTGAAGCAAAGATGAGTATGTACATGTGCAGAGGGGAGATCAGAGTCCACAGGCCAACTACCCGGGGCTTGCACCAGCATTCCCCACTATGCAGTAAAACTTATGAGTTAGGGAGGGTGGGAGAGACATAGAGGGGGAGCTGGGGAACTAAGACTTTGTTTGCATCTACGAAGCAGGAGACTTGGACCCAGTAGCAATGGAGAGGAGGGGACAGATGGGAGTTCCTTGGGAGGCAAAACCACGGAGTCCTAGTGACCATTTGGATCTCCCATGTAACAGCTATGGAGGCACCTGTGATACCCAGTGGGCTTGGGGTTTGGGTAAGTGGGGAATGGATGGTGCACTCAGGAAGAGAAGCAGACTTGCGTGGGAAGATGCTGAGTTCCCTTTTGACTTAGGTGCCTAAGGACTCCCAGGTGGCCACGTCTACCAGGCATTGGTGTGTATACCCACGCAGGATTCAAGAGAGAGAACAAGGGCCTGTAGTCACTGCGGGAACTAAGATGGCCAGGGCAGAGGGTGTGCTTGCTTGGACAGAGGAAACAGCCATCAACTGCTTTCTCTGCTGAAGATTCTACAAAAGACATTCTCAGGGACAACTGGGCAGAATCCTGGACTCAGGAGTTTAGAGATGATCTAGTATAAATCCCCTAGGGGCCGAGATGTCCGATAGGCCTTTTCTAAGCTCCCACAGCACATGCCACCAAGGCCAGCCCCAGATCTTCCAGGATACCTTTTCTCTACACTGGGGGTCCCCTAAGATACCCCTCCTCATATTGGGGGTCTTCCAGGGTACCCCTTCTCACACTGGGGGGCTGCCAGGGTATCCCTTCTCCACACTGGAGGGCTCCCAGGGCACCCTTTTGTCTCCACTGCAGTTTCCATCTGTGCTTCCTGCCCTGGGCTCTTCCGCCCCTTGGCTGGAAAGGGCTGGGTGGAGGAAGGCTGCAGGAACGGCCAGATGTGGAAGGAGGTTTCTGAACAGGAGTGGCAGTGGTGACGGGACACGGAGAGAGCAAGACTGAGCGCGCGGCTCCAGCACGCCAGTAAGGACTACGAAGCTGGCCAAGAAGGACTCAGAAGCCACCGCCTCCCACTGAGCCACTCTCTCTGCTGGAGAGTCACTCACCTTGCAAGGCACTGTTCTCGGGGGAAGGGTTCAGGCCGCTGCTGTCCAGACGTACCAAGCAGACATTCTCTCGGCACATGACCCTTAGCACCCAGTGGATCAAACACCGTTAGAGCTGTAAATGTTGAGAAACCTTGCTCGGATAGGTATGTTGGTGTGATCAGAAAGAATGATGTCACTCAGTACTTGAACTTCTAAGATACAGGTCAAAAGTGCTCTCTCCTGGAAACTACTTCTCAGCCTGAGGTCTTGCTGAGGCTCTTCTCTAAGGCTGTGAAAGGCAAAGTTTGTTTACCCGCCTTTCCTTTCCTCAACATCTGCACCAATATTTTAAAGTGTCCTCTGTTTCGGATCCCCAGAGTTTTTTCTACATTGGGTAACACACCGTGGTAAAGAGGGAGAAAAAGGGTCGTGAGGGAGAAGATGGGGAAGGAGGCCTCTGCTGTCAGATCTAGTCAAGAGGAATACTCAAGATGAAACTCTAGAAACCCATTACCTGTGGCTGTTTCTATATTCCTTGGAAAATTCTCCAATTTTTACCTGAGTCAGGTATGGGAGGCACTGAAAAATTTATAAAGTTTAAGGAAGTGCCAAAAAACCCAGTAACGATGATGATTAATATTTGAAAATGAATAAATACAATAAATCTTTTAAAAAAGAAAAAATATTTGAAAATGATATTTTTAAAAATCAAATAATGCAAAAAATCCATAATAAATGAAACATCAAATTTTTATTTTGTTTTTAAAGATCTATTTATGCATACAAGAGCTGGGGTAAAGGCCAGAGATTCGGGGGGTGAGAGGATTCACCAGAGACAGAGTGGGGAACAGAACAGTCAGACTGACTGAAATACACTGCTGAGGGGAGCAGCGGGCGAGACAGGAGAGGTCTGCTGTACCATGTGGGTTGTTCCCTGGCCGGCCGGGGATCGAACTCATGCTGCAGAGGCTGTGATTGCTTCATAGAGCGGTGCTTAGCCCCTTGCGCCACCAGGGAGGCCCAAAACATCAAAATTTTAAATAAAAACAAAATGTCAGTTCAGGTGTACCCCAGCTTGAAGTTGGGAGGTTTCAGTGTTCTTCATGTAAGGGCATTTGTGACCATCAGAGACCAGAAGCGATACTCATTCCTTTACTGCCACCTGCTGCTGGAAGCAGGCACTGCTCCCACGGCTCCTGTGCCACCAGGACCCAAGCTCATGCTGCAGCCACCCATTTTGAGAATTCTGAAAAACCCCTGATCACTTACATCCTGTTAGATAGCTGAGGGGGATAAAAAGAGTCCAAGACTCAGAGTTAGAAGAGCTGATTTGTGTCTGTGTTTGCTTCTTGCTTGCTGCACTGACTTGAACAATCACTACACCTTCCTGAGCCTGTTTCTGCACTGATAACAGACCTCGTTACCTCTTGCCACAATTGTTGAATTCACAAAACGCTTTCTGTGACGGCGCTGAGCAGGCTGTCTGGCGTGAAGTATGCACACAGTTCACAATGCACTGCTTCCCCAGGCCACCCCACCCCCTGTCAATCAAATGAGACTCACCACTTTATTATTACTGAGGGCAGGAGACACTGAAAGACAACCAGGGAGGAGAGGGGCCTAAGACATGCAGATGCTGGCGGGATATCACGGCTAATGGGACAAGGAGGACTCCCCTGGGAGGTGTCACTACACCTGAGCCTACAGGGTTGCATGGACCAGGTCAGGCCAGGAACTGGCCAAAGCCTCCAGAAATCACTAGGCCACTTCTCTGATGTTTTATTTCAGTCAAGAAACATCACAGTGGGATTGGAAAGACAGAAGCCCTTGGAATCAGCCCTGATTAAAAGGCTGTTAAATTCTGGCTCTGCTACTTACTGGTTATGTAACTTAACTTTTCTGAGCCTCCACTTTCTTCCAAAACAGGAACACCAAATTTTTTTTTGGTATTACATCTTGTCCTGGGTGGATAAATAATTAAGACAACATACTGAAAGTTCTACAAGACGGTGGGCTCACCAGCAGGAGCTGTTGCTGCCTGCATGGCGCGTCCTGTGGAAGGGAGCACCCCAGACAGACAGCAATGGCAATTGTAAAATACGACTCCTGGACAAGCCCCCAAAGTGTGCTGAAGAGAGATGCAAGCACTGTGAACCAGTGCAGAAAAAGGATAAAGCATATACCGGAAAATGCTCATGTTTGGAGAATCTGGATGAGGTATACAAGAATTCTTTTTTTTTTTTTTAGATTTATTTTGTTTATTTTTATTTATTTATTTATTTATACATGCACTGGGTACAGTCAGAAGTGCGGGAGGGTGAGAGAATTCACCAGAGCCAGAGCGGGGAGCAGAGCAGGCAGAAGGACCGAAGTACACTGCTGAGGGGAGCAGCGGGCGGCAGGAGAGGTCTGCGCGCCATGCGGGACCCTCCTCCAGTGGCCGGGGAGCAGCCGGGGATCGAACCGGCGCTGCAGAGGCTGCGGGCAGCTTCACAACCCAGCGCTCAACCTCTGCGCCACCGGGGAGGCCCTATACAGGAATTCTTGCAACTTATCCTTAAGTAAGAAATTATGTGAAAATAAAAAGCTATAAAGAGAGAAAAGGCAGCCGCAGTCCGGCACTGTCTCCCCTTATTCTCCCCACCCCCCAGCTTTCCTCAGGGGGCCTCCAGCTGAGAAGCTATTGACCGTGGGAAGCGCAGCGTCCAGCTCGCCTCCTTCAAGACGCTCTCCAGGGGGCTGAGGGGTCAGATTTCTGGAAACCTCCCCGCCCCGCGGACCCAGCACAGACCTCAGCCACACTCTCTGCCAAGCTGCACCGACTTTATTTGCAAAAGGAGGGAGGGAACCCGTGGAGCCGGGTCCCGAAGGACCCCACGGTCCCACGGTGGGGCTGCCCTCGAGCCCCTCCCGCGACCCCCGCCGCTCCTCCGCGCGCCCCGCTTCTCCAGGGCCGCCTCGCAGGCGCTCGGGGCCCCGCGCTCCTCCGCCCGCCGAGCGCCCCCCGGCCGGGCGCGCGGCTACACGATGGCGAACTGGCAGATGTAGGGCAGCCGGTCGCGGCAGCGCTTGTCGAACCACTTGCCGTTGGCCGCGCCGGCCAGGGCCGCGCAGTTCTCGCTCTTGCCGCCGTCGGGCTGCGCCGTGATCTCCGTCTCCCAGTTCTTGTAGGTGATGTGGCGGCCGGTCATGTCCACCCAGGCGCCCTCGACCGCCATGTCGTTGAGGCCCAGCCAGATCTCGGCCTCGCTGCCCACGCTCTGGCGCAGGTACTCGTACATGGAGTCGTTCTCCGAGCCCGTCTGCGGGGTGCCCAGGGTGCCCCCGCGGGAGATGCAGTCCTCGCTCGCCTCGTGGAAGGTCTTGGCCTGGGCGAAGGCCAGAAAGCACTTCATGTGCACCTTGGTGCCCTTCAGGCAGACTGGGAGGGAGAGAAGTGACTGTCACGGAGGGTTTCTGGGCTCCCCAGCCAGAGCCCGCCCCCAAACCCTGGCTCCTACCCGCCCTCGGCTTGGAATTCCTTTACCCCTAGGTCCTGGGAGGTCTCCAGTGACCACGGCCATTCCATGAGCCAGTGAGGCTCCCCGAGGGCAGGGCCCAGGCCGGGCCACCTCTCACTTGGGGTCTGGCAGAGACACACTAGGTGGGGACCTCCTGGGCATTTGCTGATTGCAGGAGGAATGGGTAGGTGGCAGGAGGGCGGCCTGATTCTCTCAACTTTTCGGCAAGGTCAACAGAGCTCAGGAACATCTGGCTATTAACAAAATGATCTTCAGGTTGTGGTGGCAAAGGCTAGGGAGTGTGACTGTCCTGGGAATCAGCAGGCATGCAGGGGAGGGTGTGCTGGACCTCCCTGTGCCTGCACTTGGTGTAGGGAGGGCCCTGCACTTCATCGCACCCAGCTCAGCACAAAGCTCAGACATGAGGGAGACCTCTGAGCTTGCCCGGCAAACCTTCCCCATCTTTCCACCTAAAGATGAGGAAACTGAGGCCCACAGTGGTACTGCGCTCTTTCTAAAGGTTCCTTCTGTGACAGGCACTGTCAGTTGACCCAACCACCACCTCTACCCATGTGTCTTTTCACCTGTCTGCCTCCACTCAGAGGCTGGAGAAACTCCTTGCATTGAAGCTACAGGTGGTCACCAGATAGAATTTTGGTTATAGGATGGAAGTAGAAGGACTTTCACTGGCGTTACAAGTGGCTAAGTCGCTCAGTAGCCATCTTTTAGCCTTGAGTACACTCCTAATTCCTGGAGTTGGGGCAGCTATCTTGATAAAACTTGGAACCAGGTAAAACTTTTAAACAAACACAGCCACTTCCAGAATCTCTCTTTTTTTTTTAAGTTGTTGTGATGTTTTCTATTACTTGAAGCCAAAGGTACTTGGTAGACATTCCCTTTCTAGAACAGCTCCACCCACTTTCCATGGGAAGCAAGTTGTCCAAATTCATGTGTTTGTCCTCCTGTCAACAAAGATTTACCGAGTGTTGATAGGTGGCAAGCGCTATCCAGGCTGGTGGGAGAGACAGGGCTAGCAAAGGCAGCATGAGCCCTTGCAGTCTAGTGGGAGAGGCAGAGCAATCAACTAATGAATATAACATTACAAATGCCAGTAAAGGGGGCCTCCCTGGTGGCGCAGGGGTTAAAGTCTCAGCACCATCAAGCTACCACCAGCCACTGTGGCACGAGTTCAATCCCCAGCCAGGGAGTTAACCCACATGGCGCAGAAGACCTCTCCTGTCTCTCCTGCTGCTCCCCTCAGCAGTGTATTTCAGTAGATCCGCCTGCTCTGCTCCCCACTCTGTCTCTGGTGAATCTTCTCACACACACCCCCGCACTTCTGGCCTACACCCCAGTTCTTGTATGCATACGTAAATAAAATAAATCTTTTTTAAAAATGCCAGTAAATGAGAGGATATTCTGTGAGAGCCTGATTGAAATGAAGGGTCAGAGACCCTCAAGAAGGTGATGCCAAAGGCATTTATTAGGTGAGTGTTGGGGAAGCAATTCAGGCTGCCAGAACAGCATGGCAGAGGCCCTGTGGTATGGTAGGAAAGACCAAGTATGTCGTTTTACAGAGACAAGAGGTAGCCAGTGTGAATGCTGAAAGAAAACATCTGAGTGGGAGGGAATTTGTGAAAAATGCCTAATAAATAGGATCTGGAGAGTTTTGAGGTGGCAGTAGGGGAGCCAGCCCAGGGCACAGGCAGTGGATATACCTTCGTCAGAGAAGCAACAGGTGAGGGGTGGCACTGGACACGGGGAGGTTTGTAGGTTTCCTAAGAAGCCAAGGTGATTCCCAGATGATACCCTGAGAGGCAGCGTAGCAAAGCTAAGAGACGCTGCACCATTCCGTTGTTGGCACGGTATTCAGCTTCTCAGTGGATTCTCATGGGTTTTCTGTGAAGACTGAGTCAGTGTACATAACACTTCCAGTCGCTCCAGGCATGTAACGGGCTCCCATGTAAGTGCTGACTGTAGCTGTTATTCTACGTTCTGCACTCTCCATGGAATGAAGGGCAAGATCATGAAGGGATGAGTGGGAGGTGTGCAGAAAACTGTGACAATATGAAAGGAAGATGGAGAGAGGCAGAGAGAGTGAGAGCCCAGGTTGCCCAGGTGGGCTGGCCATGCAGGGATGTGGCAGGTGGCTGTTCCTGTGCCCCCAAGCCCTGACGCTGTGTGATCTTGTCCAGCAGTTAGTGTGGGGCAGGAAGTCCGAAGCCCACCCCTCCTGATACCCAGCACACACCAGGCAGGCTCCTTCCTTCAGATCCTGGTCTTTACTGACCTGCTGGGGACTTGGGCAAAGACCTCTCTGTGCCTCAGTTTCCCCATCTTTAGAATGGGGATGATAAATCCCACCCCAGCATAGTGATGATTGAGAGAGACAGTGCCAGCCAGGTGCTGACACGTGGGGAAGCGTGTGCCCTCTGGGACGGTGGGAGCCGAGTAGAGATCAGCACTCCGGGTGGGAGGTAACAGATTCCTATGGGAGATCTTTGTGTCCTTTGGAGACATTTCCTCTTCCACCCATATCAGATCTCCCTGGAAGGGCAGACTGGGGATGGACCTCCCTGAACTGGTGCCCTGGCCTACAGGGCTGGCCGGGAGCCCTGGGCTGGAGGAGGCTATGGGCACACTGCATGCTGCCCCTGAACACTCCTGCCCAGAGGCCGCTATCCTGCTCACCCGCCCTCCTGCTCACCTGTCTGTAGGGCCTGCTGCTCCTTCAGCAGTGCCACCTCCTGGGCCAGACTGTCCAGCTGGCTTCTGAACTCCTCAAACATCTTGGGACCCACAGCATCTAGGAACAAGGCAAAAGGAAGGAGACATCATCACAAACACAGGAGGCAGGCAGGAGAGAGGACAGGGGGCCTCTTTCCTGTCCCTACCTCGTCCACCACGAGGAGACAAGCAGAAACAACTCCCCTCGGCCTTGATAATGTGGTTTACTTCCTCTGGCAGCCGCTGAGTAAGTGCTCGTCATTTTCCTTCCCTTGCTCCTGCTAAAGTGAGCCCTGTATTGCATCTGCTTAGGACCATTGCTGGCATAAGATGTAGTTGGGATTGGCAGGGGAAGGGCAGGAGGTGTAGGCAGAGCCTTCAGTTACCCCCAACCATCTACCCATCCCCTCAGCTGCAAAGAACAGCACAGGAAGCAGGGCCAGGCCTTGTGACCTCTCAGGCTCACCTCTGCAGGCTGGAGGAATAAGAGAGACCAGGGTGGATGGTCCACTAGCCTGAGGTCCATGGGGGCAGCACAGGCAGGCACGTGCATGGACTCACAGCATGGGTGACCTGGGGCATGTTGCACAGGGTTTCTGAGTCAAGCTTCCTCAGCTGCAATATGAGATAACACCCCACCTCAGGGGACTCTAGAGAAGACTAAGAGAAATATCACACATGTGATCAGTGCTTGGCTTGTGATCACTCCTGCAACTGGGTCGTGGGTCTCTTCTACACCAGCAGTGCTGCATGGAGAGGAAACTGAGGCCAGACTGAAGCAACTTGCCCAAGTTGGCGACTCAGGCCCATATGGCCGTAGGGCAGCTCTTCCAGCTCCAGGCTAATTGCTAACACAAGCCATCTCGCACTCCCACCCACTCCTGCTGGAAGTGTTTGTAGGTGACAGGAAACATCTTGCTGTGGGTGTACGAAAGTCGAGAGCTCTGTGGGTGGACCCCAGTCTTTCTAAAATCCCAGGGGCTTCAGGAAAGCTGTGCTCAGCATAGGATGGAGGGTGGGGAAGCAGTTCCATGGTCCATTTGGCTGTGCTGCCTGAAGTCCACGGTCACGAAGGGTGAGGTCAGCGCCTCTGTCTGCCCGTAAGATGCTTTTGCAGGGTGATCACAGGAAACACATGCAGGCGAGAAGCACGCTCATATGTACAGAAATGCTGATGTAACTTATCAAATATGAGGAAAATAAGACCCAGTGAACCGGGCAAAACAGGAGGGTTTGGGGCTGGGAAACCAGCCTGGCTGTGTCATGTGTGCCTAGTCCAGGCATCTGATTCCGTTAGTTCCCCGCAGCGCTGGCCCGTCACGTGATGCGCCCGCACAGGGCGCCATGGAAGCTGGACAGGCTGGCCCCTACACAGGCCACTCAGCTGAGGGGACATGGCTAGCTGGGTCAGACCAGATCAGGGGGTGTCTTTCTATACCCTCTGCTGTTCCCTCTGTCTGCTCAGAGATTTTCTTAATTTACAGAGCTGCCCGTGTGTGCAAGAGGCCTCCAGGCACTGACCAAGGAGCTAGGGGCTAACTCCCGAAGAAGGTATAGGGTAGGGTCTCTACGGCTCTGGGCAAGGAGCTAGCAGGCTCTTGTGCTGCCCATCTCCAAGTCTCAGGGCCCCGAGAAGTGTTGCTGCATTGGATATCCTCCAGCCCCCGGGCCTTGGTTAAGGGCCGGTGACCCACAGGGTCCTCTGGCTCCTCCACCAGCTCTGCCACGTGTCCCCTGGAGCGCCAACCTCCAGAGCCTTCCCTACATGCCTCACTCTGGCTGAACCCCACACAGCCACACCCCCAGAGCATGAGCAGACTAAGCCCCCTGAAGTACCCTGGGTTACCCCTTCTTCCCCCACCCCAGGGGCGAGGGGCGGGGGCCTGGCACAGCCCGTCCTCTCTTCCCTTCGCTAGGCTGCCAACTTGCACTCTGCCACCTGGCCAGCGCAGCAAGTGGTCTCTGCAGACCCAAATCTCTCCTCTGGACTCCAGCCCCCATTTTCATGTACTGGCCCCTACAACTCAATTTTTCCTGAGATTGTCCATCCGCCTTGCTTTTTCAAGGGATCACTGGAGATTTGTGGAAAAGGCAGATCCTACCAGAAAAAGTCTATGCCTATGTAAGTAAATGCGCATTTTTATATACATCCTTTTTTCACAACAAAGGTCAGCACAGTATTGACTCTGTTTTGAATTTTTCTTTGTTTACTTTATAAGCTGAACCTTGGCGATGTTCTTCTACTAGTACCCAGACCTGCCACACTCTCTGTCGCAGGTCTCCTGGGTGCTAATGCACCTTTATGAGCGTCACTTGTCCGTGACCAGTGGGCAACTGTCCCTTTACAGAGGAGACCCAGAGGGGCCTGAGGGCAGCCACGCCTCTTTGCCTTGCTTTTTCTGCGTACATGCCCTGGATTTCTCTGTCTAAACTCACACTCATCTTCTGGAACTCTTCTCTCCTGGCCTTGGGGCCCAGTGGGGATACAGCCCAGTTCATTGCCATGACATTTCACTAATGTTGTCTCAACACAGCGCAGGGTGACCTCACTGCAGGCAAGACTCCAAGGGCAGGTCTGGCTGCCGCCAAGGCAACCCCAGGACACCCTAAACCCCAGAGGCGGCAGGAGGAGAGCAAGGCTGCTTCGGGGATCCTGGTTTGAACATGAACATTTTTTCTTTCTTAAGGTTGCTGATAACACTATAGAACTTACAGGTGACAATCTGGAGGGCTGACGTACCTCTAAGTGAGAATTCACTTGTTCCCTTTCCTCCTGTACCTCAAGTATGTCCTGTTTTACTGGGCACTTTATGTATTTTCTGTCATTAAGTCCTCATGACCAGCCTCTGAGCAAATGCCACTACCCCCATTTTACAGTTGAGAAGCTGAGGCTTGGGGATGACAGAGCAGCGCCAGTTGGCTCTCTCTGGTGACGAGAGTCAAGCACGTCTAGACTGCCAAGCCAAAGGGTCGATTTCTTTAAAAAAATTGGTGGGATAGGAGGAGGGAAGTGGACATCAGTTTAAATGATCTGGAAGGTTCTTTTGAACCTGAGTCAGTCATCCTTATAAATTCCTATAACTGCCCCTGCTGGTGGAGAACCCCTCCACTCCAGGGCAGAGGCCCCAGGGGGTACTTCATTGAAGTTCCCTGGACTCATCGAAGAAAATGAAGGGAAGGAGCTTGAGGCTCAGTGAAGGGAGGGTGACCCTGGAAGGTGGGGAGGGGTCCCATCCCCCTCCTTACCTTTCTTGGCATTTGCAGACTTCTTGACCTTGGGGGTTGGTGGCTCGGCAGTGATCTGGGTCAGGAGGGAGAAGAGGCACAGGAGCAGGTAGGCTCCCCAGAGCTCCATGCTGCTGCGCTGGCTAGGCCTGCTGCTGCTTTTGCTGCTGCTGCTGCCGCCGCTGCCGTGGGCCTGATCCGATAGCAGTGGCAGCTGCCGCCAGGGCTGCACATCTTAAGGCAGCAGCCACGAGGCCCTCTGTCCAGGAAACCCTCCCAGACTTGGCTGCGGGTGTGCCAAAAAAAAAAAAAAAAAAAAAAAAGTCTGCAAAAGGAAGAAGGCTTGGGAGCCACAGAGCCTCACCCACCCAGCATGCTGGCCCTGCCTTCTAAAATGGAGCCATATTTTCTAGGATTCAGAAGCGTACAGGCTAGCTGTCACAGTCCCTAAGCCGGTGGGCAGCTCCCATGGGCAGGCGCTGGGCCGTCAGCTCACGAGGCCGTGAGGGAGGCTGTGGCATTTCCCCACTTTGCAGTTGAGGAAACTGAAGCTCGGTGAGATTAAGGGGCCTGCCCCAGCCACTGAGACGTTGGGAGCAGGATTTGAACCCAAGCAGGTGACCCCAAAACAGGGCAGCTCTGATGGCCCTTTACAGAGTGGCCAGGGCTGGCTGCTGACTGAGCAGGATGCTGTTTTGGATAATGTGATGCACTTGATGCATCCTTGGTTAAAAGAGTCCTCCCCTTCCTTCACCTTCTTTTCTCCAACAGCAATGACACCCATGGGAGAGGGCCACGTAGCCCCAGAGTGGTGCCAGAGGTGAAGCAGGGAAAAAAGACTGTCTCTGAGAAGTGGGGCCCGATGTGGGGTGTCAAGTCCCACATGGAAGGGGCATCACTCAGGGGAGCTGGATGGGGAGTTGGAGTCCAAGGGAGGAGAGGAGGGGTCCAGTGGGAGCAAATTTGACAGATCAGTTCAGGGGGGCCCCCATGGCAGAAGCAAGCAGTTACACTGCTCGTGTATTTTTCAAAATCCTAGGAAATAATGACTATAGGCAACGGGAGCCAGGTTTCTCGTCAGAGAGTGGAGTTATAAACATGGAGACCAAACGAGAATGAATCCTAAGGAATAGGATGAAAGTCAGAGCTATCTATCAGTGTGCAATTGTGGATTTCAGCATATAAAGATGAACCCACAGATTCAGATGGAAATATCAGGAAGTGTACCCCAGCTCTCAGTGGGCAAGCTTGGGAGCAGCAACCCCTCCAAAGCCTGCAGCCTCCCAGCAACGACTACCAGATTCTACAGGGGATCAGAGAGCACCTTCAAGAAATGGCTGAGTCCAGGGGTGGTGCAGGGAAAGTGGAAAATTATCCTAGAACAGCTGTTCTGCCAGGAAGCAAAGACACACCTAAAGAAGGGTGGGGCGTGACAGCAGAACCCAGAGCCAGCTTTCAGGGGCTTCCAGGGGCCAACATTGGAGGACAGCTTGAGCCAAAACAGTGACAGTAACAATAAAGTGGAAGTCCACGAGTGCACAGATAGAACCGAGTGAAAACGCTGAAGCAGTCTGACGGGATGTGATATTGTCATACCGTCAAATTAGCCCACAAATCACTTATTAATTACAAACAGAAAAACATGACTTCGCAGAAGCCTGGAAGCCCCAGTGTGCCTGGGTCTGTGTAAAGGCCTGGGGGATCAGAGTGAGAGGTCCACGCTGCATCATCGGACGGTTGGGCTGTGGGGAGACTAATGAGGCATCCTGGCTTTGGGGGGTCGGGTGAGAAATATGCAGCACCTGAGATTCCTGCCACAGAACATCGTGCAGACTGAGGGCCTCTACATAATAACTGGGTCAGTTCAGACTGAAGGAGACTGAAGACACGGGACAAGTAAATGCACCTCAGGGATCTGGACGGGCTATTTGTGCTGCGAAGGACGATGTGGGGGCAAGCGGAGAAGCATGATGAGTGAGGGGCACGAGGCAAAGCCGTCCCCGTTACTATCCCGATTCTGCTGGCGTCTGGTGATGGGGCAGGAAACACGCTCATGTATGAAGCTGCTGACAGCCCCCTCACCAGAGGTTCAGGGGAAGAGTGTTCTTTGTTCCAGAGCAAATTTCCTGTGAGCTTGAGATTATTCAAAAAGAAAATACAGCACTGGGCCTCCCCGGTGGCGCAGAGGTTGAGCATTGGGTTGCGGGGCTGCCCACGGTCTCTGCAGCGCCGGTTCGATCCCCGGCTGCTCCCCGGCCACCAGAGGAGGGTCCCACATGGCGCGCAGATCTCTCCTGCCGCCCGCTGCTCCCCTCAGCAGTGCACTTCGGCCTTCTGCCTGCTCTGCTCCCCGCTCTGGCTCTGGTGAATTCTCTCACCCTCCCGTGCTTCTGACTGTACCCAGTGCTTGTATAAATAAATAAAATAAATAAATAAAAATAAAAATCTTAAAAAAAAAAACTCTTTAAAAAAAAGAAAGAAAATACAGCACTATGTCATTCAGGCTTTTCTTCCAGGGCCCCTGCTGGCCCCGTGTGATTTAGGGAGGGGTCCGTGCTGCAGCCCCACTTGGTTGACCTGGGCGCTGAGGTGGGGTCAAGGGCGGAAGCCTGGGGCAGGCAGCAAACACATTCACGGCTGCATGATCCTGGCCTTCTCGTGGGAGAGGGTTTTACATTCACATCTGGGCCTCAGTGAACTGGGCCTAAGATTACACAACCTTACAGGATCCCGGCTTCCTGGCACCCCAGCAGGTAGCACAAGGCAGAGGCAAGCATCTTCATCATTCTCTTTATGCTTTTGCTCCTTTGCCTTTCCTGGTTTTCTCCTCTTGGCTATTCAGTGAGAGGGAGAGGGCAGGAGTCTGCTCTCTGAAGATGAAGCAGTCAGGGGCCCCAAGTTTTGTCATGGCTGAGGCCCTGCCCTGGATATGTTGGGGAGAATGTTCCAGAAAAGCTGTGCTGTGGCTATTCAGAAAACTGGGACACCCTGGGTGGTTGGCTGCTCCATGTCTCCATGCGCCGGAACCACGCCCGGAGCCAGACTGTCAGGACACGCCTGGAAGTATTAGCACCCCATCAGTCCCTCGTCACCCCAGTGTGCCTGGGTCTGTGTAAAGGCCTCGGGGTTCAAAGTGAGAGGTCCACGCTGCATCATCGGACTGCAGACGGGTGTCCCAGGGCAGTTAACACAGCGGGGGAGGAAGGGGGTGGAAGGAAGGCAGCCCCCAAGCTGAGGAAGGGACAAAGAGTTGTTGGCCCAGGGAGGGCAGGGCAGGGAAGGAAGGAATTTGGACCGTGCTCCAGGCTTGGAACCAAGAGAAAGTGTGACACATCCTAGATCCTGGGCACAGATGGCAGGGAGGGAATAAAGCTGGAGATGCAGATGGGCCAGATCGCCAAGGGCTATTCAAGCCACGTTTATAGACTTTGGACACAAGCAGGAGGAAGTGGGAGGTAGTGAAAAGCCAAGCTGGGCAGGGTGGTGACCAGATCACACTTTGGAAGGAGTGTGCTGGCTCCTGGGTGGGGCATGGACTGGGGGACCCAGAGAGGAAGCAGAGAGATATTAAGCATGTGTCCAACATTAGCCCCAAACAAGATGGGGCGACGCCTTCACTGGGGGGAGCATGACTTTCTCCTGCTCAACCTGGCAAGTGACCTCTCCCTTTGCGCTTCAGGATGAAGGTGTGCCTCAGAGCTCACCACTGAGTAGTGAGCGATGTCTTTGGTCTTTCATCCTGCAGGTTTCCGTGGGTGTAGGAACACACGTGAACACACGTGCATGCATGGTGCCTGCACAGGACTCCCCTCCAAGCAGTCGAGTCATGATTTAATATAGAATCACAGCAAGGGAGTGTTTTTGGCCTGGGGCCGTCTCAAGTTTAGGCCTGGCATGTCTCCAAGGAGGGCCTCCACAGCCTCAGGGGGACACCAGATGCCCTGAGAGAAGACAAGCTCATCACAGAACTATAAACTTGTACCATCACCAGCTCCTGTGGCAGCCTCAGAACGTCATTCTAAAAGGAAATCTTGTGTTGTGAGTAGCATGTTGTCCTGTGTCTATTTGCATATTAAACGTGTTATTTCATCAAATGTAAACATTGAAGATCTATCGCCATTTTTTTGGTCACCCTATTCTGCATTGCATTATTTTTTAATTGCTTCAGTGGGCCTAAAAAAGAATGCAGCAACCCAGCGCCTCTGGGTCTCTGAGTTAGAAAGCAGGTTGGAAGAGGCCTCTGGTCCAGCCACCCTCGACAGGAGTGCTCTTCCCTCGGCCCGTCAGGTCTCCATGTACTTGCTTGAACCTTCCTAGGATGAGCAGCTCATTACTCTGCGAAGCAGATGGTTCTATCACAAGACGCTTGGCTTGTTACAAAGTCCCTGTGGTGAGGCAGGTCCCCCAAAATATCACCCAGGGGTCCCTTGTGCCATGTAAGAGATGTGCAAATATTCAAAATGACTGTAGCAGGGTTTTTTTTCTACTCCCACGTTCCTTTCTCTTTTTTCTCCCAAAGCTTCCTCTATGATATTGTTCCTGGACTTTTTTTTTTTTTAATTTTTTAATTTTATGTATTTTTTACATCATTTTTCACTTTTGCACAATGTATGCCTTTTCATCTTGGTTATAGTTCCCATACAATTCCCACCACCCGTTTTTAATCTTCTGAAAAATCCCCTTTGGCTAGAATGCTGCTTAGTACTGACCTCCTTGTGGTGCAGCTCCCAGAACAAACCTGTTTGCAAGGGACCAGTCTGGGGCCCACTGAGCACCCTAGTCAGAAAGCAAGAGGCAGAGACCCTTTGCAGCAACCTCGCTTCATCTACAGCTAGTGCTGAGTTCCTGGCCACCCAATACCCAGGTCCCCTTGTCCAGCCCAGCTCTCCCTGCCCAGCTGAGGCCCATCCTAACAGCCCCCCACCATGGGCTCACCCACAGTCTGGGGGAGTCTATAGATTTCATCCTCGCAGCAGGGAAGCTCCCTGTCTGCAAGTCCTCAAGGCCTCAGGGGGTGGCTTCAGGCAGGCTAATGTTCACGAACACCCCAGCACAGGAAATGTCTGTGCAAACCACACTCAGGACCCAGTCTTTTAGTACCTGTTTCCCTGTACACAGTGTGATCTTGACAAAGCCCCGAGGTAGATAAGTCAGAAGAGAGAAAACATTTCAGTTTTCAAGGTTTTGTATCATTGTTTTTCCCCCTCCAAAGCTGCTGGAAATATGAATTACACAAAACAAGCTCTGGTCACCCCACCCATGTCAGCCCAAGCAATGTAAAAACTCCTGGCCCAATATGGAGCACCCTCCACCCTTGGCCCCCACAGATGTTTTCTTTTAGCTCCACTGGCCCCATGTCAAAAGAAATGGGGCCAGGCCTATGGAGGCAGAGAACTTTCCTCACTCTCTTCAAAGACAAGACCACCTAGGGTGTCCTTAGCCAAGAACATCACAAGAGCAGTCCTGGTCCTTAGCCAAATTCAAAGACAAAGGGCCTATAACCTTGCCCTCAATGACTCTTTTCAAACCCTGCTGCAGTGGCTGCTGTGGTGCTCTGTTCTGCCGAATGCCAGGCCCAAGGGCACACAACACTGCTGGGGGTGGAAGGGGGGGGCAAGTGTTTGGCTCTTGTGGGGCCCATATTGCTTGCCGAAAGGTTAGCAGCATCCTAGTGAAAAGAAAATTGGAGTCCTGGGTTGCAAATCAGGCACCTGGTACTTGTATCCCCGAGCAAGTCATTCAAGACCCAGATTCCTCTGGAATTTTTTCAAGGAGCAAATAGAGGTCCCAAGTGTGAGGCAGAAGCAAAGGTGTGGGAAGGCATGGTCCAAGATGCCACATGGCCCTCAGGACCCAGTGCTCTCTGTTCACCCAGTTATTCCTTCTGCTCCAGGGGAGAGATAAGTTACCTAATTTCTAAGTTGGGGAAGAATAAATTGGGCATACTCAGCTCAGTTCTGAATTTACCTGATGTCTTTAGCTTTACTAGCTCATGTATAAAAATAAAACAATATAAAATAAAAATATATAAAATATAAACTTAAAATATATTTACACTTACATAAATAAAAAATATACTATAAATTTTAATCTACCTTATTCGCACTCCTTGCCCTCGTCCCCACCCCATGGAGCACGAGGATTTAACAGCTATCAACCCACCTGTGTATTGAGGAATCCTGGTTTCCAAATCATCACAAGCCCTGCACAACCTTGCCAGGATTTTTGCTGGTCCCCACTCCCTCCACCTGTGCCCCCAAATCTCTCTGTACATTGATCCTTAGTCGTGTCCAGAATATGCAAATGTCCCCATGGAAGAAAATAATTGGCCACAAACTGCTCATTTCAGACCTTCCTGTTTCTCCAACCTTTCAAAGAATTAACTTTTGGTTTCATTCATTCTCTATTGATTTCCCATTTTCATTTTCATTGATTTCTGCTCTAACCATTCTTTCTTTTCTTTTGTTTACTTTGGATTTACTCTTCTTTTTCCTAGTTTCCTAAGGCAGAAGCTTAGCCGATTGATTTTAGATCTTTCTTGTTTTCTAATATGTTCATTTAAAGTTAAAAATTTCCCTCTAGCCCCTGCTTTTGCTTTGTCCAAATTTTGATAACTTGTTTTTATTTTCAGTTAGTTCAAAACATTTCACTTGTGATTTCTTCTTTCACTCATGTTATTTAAAATGCTGCTTAATTTTCAAGAATTTTGGAATTTTCCAGCTATCTTTCTGTAATTGATTTCTAGTTTAATTTTGTTGTGGGTTGAGATCATACATTGTATGGATTTCTGTTCTATTAAAGTGCTAAGGTGTGTTTTATGGCCTAGAATTTTGTCTATCTTGGTGAATAATCCATGAGATTTTAAAAATGTTGATGGATGAAGCGGTCTACATGTCCATTGATTTACAACTAATCCAAGTGCACTTTCAAATAACACTATACTATTTCACATGCAGAGTACTTTAATAACAAAATAATCTTAATTCCTCCCTGGTATCATTGATGGCATTCATTTTGTTTATACATACTTTATAAATATATAAGCATACATAATCTAACACACTGTTGCTATTACTTCAAAGTTATCTGTAGATTAAGAATATGAAAAATAAGCTTTTCTTTTACCTTTATTCCTTCTCCAGTGTTCTTCCTATGTAGATCCTGACTGATACTACCTTTCCCTCACTTAAAATTTTTCAGTTTTATTGAGAAATAATTGACGCATATCACTGAGTAAGCATGAAGCGTATATAGCAAGATGGTCTGATTGACTTATATTGTGAAATGATTATCACAATAAGTTCAACCAATTTCCCTATCATATAGATACAACAAAATGAAAATAAAGAAAAAAAGGGGGAAAATTCTTGTAGCAAGAATTCTTAGGATTTACTCTCAACTTTCCTATATGTCATACAGCAGTGTTAGTTATCATCAAGTTGCACATTACATCCCTGATATGTACTGGAAATCTGTGCCTTTTGACTATTTTTTTTTTTAATAGACACTTATTTTATTTTACTTTTAAAGATTTATTTATTTATGCATACAAGAGCTGGGGTGTAGGCCAGAGGTGCAGGGGGTGAGAGGATTCACCAGAGACAGAGTGGGGAACAGAACAAGCAGATTGACCAAAATGCACTCCTGAGGGGAGCAGCGGGCGAGACAGGAGAGGTCTGCTTCGCCATCTGGGTCACCTCCCTGGCCAGGGATTGAACTTGTGTTGCAGTGGCTATGGACAGCTTCATAGTGCTGACGCTTAACCCCTTGAGCCACCAGGGAGGCCCCTTGACTATCTTTTTCATTTCACAATTATGTAAATCAAAATACTGTTGTAACCCTTATACAGTGATAAATGCAATTAGTTAACAAAACTGGGGGGAAATAAAATTGGAGAATTCTCCATCTTCCCACCCTCTGACTCTGATAACCACAGGTCTGATTTCTTTTTCTGAGTTTGAGAGTAAGATTTTAGATATAAGCAAGATCAGAGCTTTTTTATTTCAGACTTATTTCACTTAGTATAATGCCTTCAAAGTCCTTTCTTGTTATTACATAAGGTAGGATTTCCTTGTTTTGGTGGTTGAGTAATATTCCACCGTGTGTGTGTGTGTCTGTGTCTGTGTGTCTGTAATTTACAACAGCCAAGTCATGAAAACTACCTAAGTATCCATCAATGTTGCTATGAACATGTGGGTGCAATCATCTTTTCCTTTGGGTATCTTCCTAAACTGGAATTGGAATTGCTGGATCATATGGTAGTGCAATTTTTAAGTGTTTGAGGACCTCCATACTGTTTTCTACAATGGTACCAATTTACAATCCCACCAACAGTGCACAAGGGTCCCCTTTTCTTCACATCTATATCATTCTATGCTGACTCTTGGCTTTTATATGATGGCCTGTCACACAATCACAGTTTTAATTGCATCTTCCTAATGATTAGTGCTGTTGAGCATCTTTCATGGATCCATCGGTCTTTTTTATATCTTCTTTGAAAAAAGGTCTATCCATTTTTTAAGTGGGGGGTTTTGCCAGTGAGCTACATGAGTTCTTCCACGCCTGCCCTTACTTTCCCCAGCCCCAAGTTCTCAGTTGCCTTTTGACCAACTTTGATGTTCTCCCTGATTTTTACTAACAATTGGTTCTGCTCTGGGTCTCTCCAGAACAGTATTTTTGGCTAGTGTGTCTTCAATTTTCTCTCTTGGAGAGAACTTGCTCGTTAGGTGTTTTGTTCCATTTGTAAAGTACACTTAGCACAGGTAGGAGTGACCTTCAAGGAAAGGAATGGGGTGATAGCAACGGATACTAACAGACTTCTCTCCTTCCTTTATTTTATCTCTTTCCTTCCTTTATTTTCGCTCTAACTGCTTAGCCAGTCAGCCCAGCTAGATAAGCGACATACAACTTGTCTGGGAAAGCCTCATCTATCTACCTGCCTCATTTTTCTGATGCCTTTAATTATCAAGACTGAAGGCTTCTAAACTATTCAAACTCTGGCTGCATCTCTGCACCCCCAACTGCCAATGTTCCATCACAGCAGTCAACCAGGAGCGGCAGAGAAGGGGACAGGCTGATGACTACCTTCTTGGGAGCACCATCATGGCGCCAGTAGGCACAGTCACTGGAAAAACACATAAAATGAAAACCCAAGCTGTGCTCTCGATGTGGCAGCAGTTCCAAGACCATGTCTAGGCAGCTGCTTCTCTCCACAGGGACAGATCTGGCCATGCCAGGAAGAGATGCCCACGCCAGGACCTCTGGAACCAGTCTGCAAGGGCTTCGGCTCACATTGTTCTTTCCATGAGGCAATAAATTCCTAACTCCTTACCCTATTTGTCTAACTGCAATGCAGACAGCAAATGCCATGGCTGAAATATTCTCCTTCCGAATCAGTTCCTACCCCAGGGCTCTTAAACACTGACTGGGGAGTCTCAGTTCCCCTGGAAAAGAAAAACACAAACTGGGCCTCCCCTGTGGTGCAGCGGTTGAGCGCTGGGTTGCGAAGCTCCCCGCGGCTTCTGTGGCACCGGTTCGAACCCTGGCTGCTCCCCGGCCACTGGAAGAGGGTCCCACATGGTGCGCAGACCTCTCCTGCCACCCACTGCTCCCCTCAGCAGTGTACTTCGCTCCTTCTGCCTGCTTTGCTCCCCGCTCTGGCTCTGGTGAATTCTCTCACCCTCCCGTGCTTCTGACTGTACCCAGTGCATGTATAAACAAACAAATAAATAAACAAATAAATAAAAATACATGCCTCTTTAAAAAAAAAAAGAAAAACACAAACTGCTCAACCATGAACACACTAAACTGCACACACTGCACTGTGAGCAGATACAGTTATAGGAAGCGCCTTCTGGGGCCACTGAGCATGGCCTCCCTTACTGTCCCCGGAGTATAAAGGCAGATTAGTAATCACATGATAACATCTCTGAAGCAGTCTTCTTAACGTTGATGAAAAATGAAAATCTTACGAAACACCAGGGAGTGGTTATAAAGCACAAAGCAATTTAAAAACATGAGTGATAAAAGTTGCTAAACACCAAAGTGGCTGCTAAGTCCCCAACCCGAGGGAGTGCTGCCTGATCTCCTGGAGGGCGGGAAGGCTGGGACTTCCCGAGGACGCAAGCAGGCTCGCCAGCCAGCTACCTGGGCAGAAAGCTTCCTCCTTTCTCGTCCCCCAGAACTACGCAAACACACAGTGAATAACCTTCTTTGAGTGATACTTATTTCGAAAACCCTACAAGGGGGAAAAAAATCACAAAGTACATATCATGAGCATTTTCTTGAAATATTTTCCTGCCAGGTCTTTTTTCCCCATCCTGCCAGGTCTTTCTTGAGGAGGCTTCTTCTTGTTGTTCTGAACTCCTGCAGCAGGAGATAAAGGAGTCCCGTTGGGGAGGCCTCTGCCCAGAGCCCTCTCTCTTGGAATAGGTCTCTGGGCTTGTCTGCCTTCCACTAGACAAAGGCCAGTACCTTCAAGGGGTCACCAACTGGCATCTTGGCTTATAGCTAAAGAATTCTAGCCATCCCAAACCAGACAAGAAAATAGACTTTAATTTTACATGTACAAATGTTGTTTCAAATTCTTAACAGTTAAGAAAAATATATACAAACTTCAGCTTGAAAGTAAAAAAAAACCTCCACAGTTGGGGGATGATGTGCCAATCATCCCAGGAATCCGACTTTCTGTCTCTTGGACCCGAGGCTCTCTTCCTTGTGTAGGATACTCTGCAGGGAGGCATGCAGTACCTTGCCCACTCGCTTGCCAGTCTGCAGGACAGAGGAGGGATGGAAGAGAGTGCCACCCACTTGAGAGACACATACTTGACACAGAAAAGGGTTCCCTTTCTGCCAGCTAGCCACTCCAAAATTATACACATTCCCTCTTCCTTACAAAACTTTTACTTAATAAAACACATTAAAACAAAAACAAGTCACAAGGCCCAACAACATCAACAGGTACATTCTGGAAAAACTTTGACACCAAGAAAAAGAAAGAGAACAAAGGACGCAGAGCCCCAAGTAGCAAGCAGGAGGTAGAAAGGCTGTCCCGGTCATGAGCTCACGCTTAGCAACCCTATGGCCATTACAACAAGAGGCAAAACTGTCAACCCACTCTGGACTTGTGACAGTCCACTGCACTGTAGTGAAAAGGCGCAGGGAGGCCACAGGGAATCCAGAGTCTGTCTAATGAAGGAACAGAGAACACTGAGGACACACTTTAACACGCAGTTTCTAATTCACCCACCACCAAGCCTTTGAGCAGAACTGCACCTGCACAGGGTCTACGCAGAGTGAGTGTCACGCAGAGATGCCATCTGCCAGTGGACACAGCAAGAGGTCAGACCACCCAAGATTTCCTCTACATAGTACACACATGGAGACAACTCAAAACAACTCCCCAGGATCCAAAAATCTTTGTGAAACACATTCTGCTTCTGGCTGCTCATGAATGATTTTAAGAATACAGTGAATCAACTCCAAATCTCTACCTCATCAAGTCTTCCATGTTCCCAGAGCAGTTTTAACTCAACTCTGCCACTGGGCCCCATGTCAGGGAAAGACACACCCAGGCCCACACCCCTGCTCCAGTCCCATGTCCCTTCTCGCCTGCCCAGAACACTGGATGAGGTTCCAAGTGTTAGTAAAAACGCCCATGAAAAGATCTGTCTCAATGGAGGGAAGTGATTGAGTCCACAAAATGCAAAGTCAGGGGTAAGGTTCAAAATGACTTTGGAAGATTTTTATCAAACGTTAGAGAAAGAAAAGGTGCCGAAGTTGATCAAACAGGGGTACTGATGATTCCTATAAGTGAAGGTGGGAAGACAGAATAGGAGGAAATGAGACAGGACACCAGGACTTGAGAAGGTCTGAACCTGGACTTGCAGAAAAGAGAGTGTAGAGGCTGGGGGGTGGCAGTCTGCACAACCACCGCCAGCTCTCAGCATCCCATCAGAGGCATTTTGGATTTCTGTGCTCCTTCATGGAACAAGCAGTGAGACAGGGCCCCCTAAGCAGGGTTTGCAGACCTCATTCCCCAGCCCCAGGGGAGGATGAAGCTCGAATCACTGGATAGAGCTCTGGTTTCCCTACCACCCACAGTGACAAGAGCCAACCTGGTTTATAAAAGAGCTGACTGAGAGAGGGACTCTGGAGGCACAGTCTGAGCCTGAATCCGAAAGCCAGCATTTATGAGCTGAGACCTTAGGCAAGTTACCAAGCCCCACATTTCCTCATCTGTAAAAATAAGGATAATAATACAGTCTTCTTCAATTTACGATGGGGTTACGTCATTGGGAATATAAGTCACAAATGCATTCAATACACCAAATCTACTAGACAGCAGAGGTTAGCCCAGGCTACCTTAAACATGCTCACAACACTTACATTAACCTACAGCTGGGCAAACTCATCTAACACAGTCTATTTTATAACAAAGTATTAATGTCATGTAATTTATTGAATACTGAACTCAAAGTGAAGAAAAGAATGCCCTAATTCAAAATTTAATGTATGGTTTCTACCAAATCCATCATCCTGCACCACGGTAAAGTCCAAAAATTGTTAAGCTGAACTATCATAAATCAGAAATCACTTGTAGTTTCTTCACAGAATTATGGAGGATTAAATGACAATATGTTTAAAGCACCAAAAACAGGGTCTGACACATAGTAAGCACATAGTAAGCTTTAGCTGTTTATAGTTTTTGTCATTTAGATACTGGAATTCTCCTACAATTCTCCTGGGGGTAGGAGGAGAGTTCTTCCTAAAACAAGGCTGAGAGCCACTTGTCCAGAGAGGTCTTGGGTAGAACTTCTGAAAACTGCACATGCTTTCGTTTAAAAAAATGAACTAGTTAACCAACCAACTGTGAAGAACACTAACTGCCACGTCCAGCTGAGGACACCTGAACTCGACTGTGTCATGGAGCACAGAGAGCAGAGCTGACATGTACTGAGAACTTAGGATTTAGCAGACACTCTGACAAATGCTTTACCTCTACATCCCCATGTACTCCTCACAACTGCTCAGCAGCAGGGACACTGTTATTATCACCCTATTTTGCATAAGGGGGAGACATGCAGTCCAGGCAGTATGATGTCTTCAGCGCCCACACTCAGGTCCTTAACACCATATATACATCACCCATTATCTCTTTCAAATAAGACGGTAAAAAGAAAAAAGACATCAAGTGCTTAGAGTCTTCAGTGAAAAGTCACTGTTTCTAAGAATGAAGGGACAGGGCAAATGACAACCTTGTGTGCTGTCAAACAATGACCTCTGAGAATGGGTTGTGATGTAGCATTATCTAAAGCAGGAAAAAAAAAATCCCAGTCTAGCTAACACCGGTAATTCAGTCAGTCAGTCAGTCAGTCAGTCAGTCAGTCAGTCAGTCAGTGTCAGAATCCTCAGAGAGTTCTGGGAAGTGAAGGTAGACACAAAGGGAGGAAGGTATGGGAAGACAAGGTGAGCAGAACCTGGTTGATGCCTGGGAGTGGCTTCCAGGCCAAGGGAGACAGACACATCAGCCAATCAGCACAGAGCAGCTGGAAAGCCCCCTAGTGGTGCTGCCACTAGTGGTGCTGAGGAGACCTACGAAGAGCAGTACTCACTGAGGCAACTGGGAAGATGCCCCACCATTCCTGTTAGTGTCCATTTAAACACTCTGGACATGGGAAAACTGGGGGAAGACACCCATTCTTCAGTCTCCTAGCTCCACCTTTGCTCACTCCCTTTAAAGGGATAGAAAGCAGTCAGCCAGGAATTTAATTTCCTCATCAAATCACAAAAGCTAGGGATTTTAGAGTTACAAGTGAGTTTTTACGGTATTAAAGTTCAATAATGTCAAACAAATTTAGAAACTTGCAGTGAGAGAGGGGAGGACAGGCATCTGATAGTAGCAGGTTCCTTACTTCCTTGCTCACAGCCCCCCATCCACACCCTTGGCTAGCAGGCATCCAGTTCATACCAGCTGTTCACCAGGCTCCGCATTTGGGGTCAAGGGTGTAGATGGGAGAATTCCCATGTGTGACCAAGGGGGCAAGAAGCAGCAAGCATCAGTTGGGTCCCAGCGCTTGCCTCAGAGTCAGAGCCTCACCTCCATCATCTCAAAGATGCTCTCTGGATCCAGGCTGCCTTTCCCCACTTTCCTCATACATGTGACAACCCCTTTGCTGGTCACAGACACCAGCAAGCTGGCCAAGGAGCAGGCCTCTTCCTGAAGAGTAGCATCCACCACGTGCCGATAACCAATCTGCAAAGCCAGGGAGCAAAGCACACATGTGGGTCACATACACCCAAGATTCCACTCTTGACAGCTTCATGGAGGGAGTATCTATACCAGCAAAGAACCACCATTGCCCATGCAGATCTTATTTTAGATTCAGCGTATTTTAGATTCAGCTTTCGATTTGAAGTGATGGTCAATAATTCTACCATAGGCCACTATACAAACAGTGTAACAGGAACATAGAATGGAGTATTGTTGGGAGGTGGAGGATGTTAGAACTAAATTCAGAGAGCATCCAAGTCAGAGGCCACGAGGGTTTTTACTAGAGGGGCACAGGGGGAAATTCATAGGTGAGATGACATGGATGTTTCACCGACGGCAAAGATGAATCAAGAGGGCCCATGCTAAAAGGACATGCTCAAGAATGAGTCAAGTGCAACTAGTTTTAATCAGTCCCAACATCCTTCTGTCTGAATATGCACCATACCCCAGGTTCATGAAGCTATATTTAGAGAGATTAAGTCTAACCTGTTCAGTCATATTATTTTTGATAAAATGAACTCTGAATGAATCAGTGGCAATCCCAGTTAACACAGGCCCCCCTGCATAATCGGAGGTCATGCCAGTTATTATCCAATTATCGGAGGTAGTGCCATAATCGGAGGTAGTGCAGCTCAGTAAGATGTTAGGCTCCACAGGCCTCCGTGGGAATGTAAAAACCACACGTGACACATCAGACATCCAGGACCTACTCCAACCCTCTCATTTCACAGATCAGGACACTGGGGCCCACGCAAGAGGCAGCGTGAGAGCCTTTAAACCATCCTATTACTATTCAATCAGGGCAGACCCTTAGAGCAGAGGGAATTAAAGGAAATAGATACATAGGGTTTCAGTGAAATATGTAGTATGTAGATTAATTAAATCTGGTTATTATTATTATGAACCCACTCATGTGCTCTTGAGATGCCCTCATGTCTTCCAATTAAAAAAAGAGCTGTTCGGGCCTCTCTGGTGGTGCAGCGATTGAGCGCTGGGTTGCGAAGCTGTCCACAGCCTCTGCAGTGCTGGTTCGAGTCCCGGCTGCTCCCCAGCCACCAGAGGAGGGTCCCACATGGCACGCAGACCCCTCCGGCCACCCGCTGCTCCCCTCAGCAGTGTATTTCGTCAGTCTGCCTGCTCTGCTCCCCGCTCTGGCTCTGGTGAATTTTCTCACCCTCCTGCATTTCTGACTGTACCCAGTGCTTATATAAATTAATAAAAATAAATCTTAAAAAAAAAGCAAACATTGTACAAAAATGAACAATGATGTAAAATATATATAAATAAATAATTGAAAAAAAAAAAAAAGAGCTGTTCATTGTAGTGGTTTCCAATATAACTGAACTATTAGATTAGGGTTAAAGCTACTTCTATATGGTTTGTGAAACTATGCCTTTTCAATCTACTATTTAAGCCTTGCAGGCTGGGGCCGAAGACGACTCACAAGGAAGAAAAAACCATCAGACCTCCAAACCTTCAGACAAAACCAAGCGCATACCTTGCACAGGGTGACAATGCAGGGGACATTCTCCACACTCAGCCGTATGCAGTCATAAGGGTCATCAGACAGCTCAATGTCCTTTGACCCCTCCTCATCCTCCAGAACACGAACTCTTGGTATCCTGGAAACAGAAGCACAATGAAAATTCCCACTTATTCAGAGGAAGAAAGATAACTTAATTTCTTGAGACTGAGAGAAGTCGGAATTTCTGTATCTCACAAGATACAGTTATGCTAAGACTGACCTTTATCATCCTTATCCCTGTCACCCTGTCTCTCCTGTCATCCTTTTCACCTGTCATCCTTGTCACCCCTGTCAAAAGCACAGTTGACACTGTAGTGCAAGGGAGGAGCCTTTTTAAAAAATGATGGTCAATCAGATATCCACATGGGGGAAAAAAGGAATCTCAATTCGTATCTCACACTATATACAAAATACATACCAAATGGACCTTAATTGTACAAAAGGGCTCTCCGCACACCAGGGGGCCCAATGGCTTGCAGAGTCCCCATTCCTTGCTGCTGCGGGGCTGTCCTTGTTGTGGGGATGAGGTTGGCTCTGCCCACAACAGGTGGCTTTCCCAACCTGAGCAGCTGGGCTTTACCATGCTGGTATACAGTTTGCCCAACACCTCCCCCACAGCCAAACTGCCTCATTTGGTTTCTATTCTTTCTGCCCTGGTGCCCAGGGAAACCAGCTGGCAGACAGGGAATCACTTCTGAGGCTCGAAGTAAAACAGATGGCAATTTCCTTTCTTCTGCAAAGAGCCCAAGCATAGGCTGCCGTTGCTGGTGGCATCTGGTACTCGAGGCTCCACAGTGCCCATAAGCGCCAGGCCCACCCCTCAATTAGTCTCAGCCTGGAGTCTAGTGGCACAGCCGGGGGAGGGGGGGGGGCTCTATGGCTTTCATTCTCAGCAAATATTCCATCCTGGAATTTCTGACCTAAAGTTCTTTATTTTTGCTTGTCTTGTTTTAAATTATATCAACAGTCTAAATTTACTACAGAAACATTCTAAAATTCAGAAAATGTTAAATTGCCCATAACTTGAGCACTGAAAAATAATCACAATGATCATCTGGAATATATGCATTTTTCCCCAGACATAATAAATACATAGTTACCAAAAGTAAAATACAATAAAACAGATGAGTGGACTATTTAATGACTGATTTTCCAGATCGACAAGCCCACAAACATGCTGATTTCAAACCCCTGTGTTGGGACCTCATGTTGTTTCTAATTCCTCACCATTACAAGAAGCTATGATGAACATTCAAGAATACTATCTTTGCTCACTTATTCAATTAATTGCTTAGAAGGGGCTAATCCTCAGTTTCTAATGCCCCAGGGTCCCCCACCATTACCATAATGTAAGCTCTCTATGAACATCCCCACCCACATGTTAATTTTCAAAAGCTGCAAGCTTTCCTAGTGTGTGTGTTAGGGAGGTCAAGATGGGGAAAGCTACATAATCAAGCAGTCAGAGGAAATGTCACCTTCAAAAAAGTCTAGTGCCATGTCCCCTTACACTGCCTATCTGCAAGCCACAGTGATATAATCACTTCCTGCTCTTACTTCAAACCAAAGAACAGACTGCTACACTGCTTTTAGAACACACAGGCATCCGGTCAAGGATCATTGAGCACCAACCACATGTGAGACATTGTGATGCTGGGGGAATAGCAGGACCCAAAACAGGCAAACCCCTGCCCTCACGGAGCTTTATCCAGTAACAGTATTTGGACAATTGACCTGTAACTGGTGTCTACCCTTTTTGTTTTTTGTTCTTATAATATTTTTGTACAAGATCCATTTTTACTTATGAAAATAACTATAAAAAAATATATAGAAATACAGGCATATATTTAGCTTTTACTTATGAAATCTGTCTTACTGGAGCCTAACATTAAATGCTACATTCTCAATGTTAACATCCCTTGGTCTCTTCATCTATAACCTTCAGTAGAAATTTCCACAATGTTCCATTACAAGTATCTGGTTGGGTTCTCCACAAGCCCATGGGGCTTTCAGAAGACTGACCTTGTATTGAAGAGAGCGGCCTTTACAGCAATGGAGATGGCATCAAACAAATTTCCACCACATTCCAGCAGCTAAGGACAACAAATAAGAGCGGGGAGAAAAAGTAAGCACAATTATGGGGAATATAAAAATAAAATTTATAATTAAAAAAAAAGTAAGCACAATTATTCCAATTAAAGGACTCTGCTGCTAAGAAATGCTGACCAAGTGTCTATAAAGATGAGGCATGTGCCTGCTATGCTGGCTCCCTGACACTGTGTGCTTACCCTAATGGTAAGTACTGCCTTGCAAGGCTGTGCTTACACAGAACACGTGTGCAAGGTCACAGCTGCCCTGGCGTGGTACACCACCTAGGCTTCAGCTTGCAGGAGATGTCCTTTAACTGGCCCTCCAGTAGGCTGGGCCTGCACTGAAGGAGGAACTGATAACCCTTATTTTGCCACAGACAACTCCCAATGGCACTGCAAGCGTCACACTCATCTTGGCTGACCTACGCTCAGTTTCCAAACAAGTGAAAAAAGGTGACCACCAATGCTGTGGCTACTGCCAGGTTCATGTTTATTAATGTATGCAATTCCCAATGTCTACCTGATACTCCGCTGTTTTACACTCCGTGTTTTACATGAGGCATGAGAAACACTAAGGTCTCGCCTATGAGTTTTTGCCCGTGAACAGAAGTGCTGACTGCACTTACTGCGGTCATCCAGCAGGGAAGGTCAGAACACATTAATAAGAGGAGGTAACACTTCCGTCTGTCCTCACTTCAGAGAAGTCTTGGCCTGAGCTTACAGAAAAAGCCAACTGGGCTGCCCCAAGGAAGAGAGGAGAGGAAGTCTCCATGGAGGGAGAAAAGCCCTATATTTCTGTGTGTTTTTAATTTAGAATCTGTCTCCTCTTCATCTAAACTGTGAACTGTGAGGACTAGATGCTGTCAATTTTGCTCCATCCTTGAAATCTCAGAGCCCAGGAGACAGGCTATCATGAAGGGGAGCTGGTGACAATTTACAGAAGACAGGCAGGCCCTAAGCCTGGGCCTTCAACTAATACTCATTCATAATCTGTAGTCTCATGCCCCATGCAAATCTGTATTCTCACCTTTAAGTTCTTCAAGAAAACTTCAAGTACACAAGAAATCTTCAGAATGCATTATGATACTTTCAAAACAAAAGCCACAAGGTTGATATAGTAACCTTCCTCGAATGATTTAGAAGATATGTATGATAGTATGCCAGAGTTCCATCAGAACCTAAGTTATCATTGTCCTAAAAAGCAGGAAAATTAAGAGAGACTGTTGGCTGATTAAGGACAGTGCAGACACTGTCCTTTCCACAGTCTTGCATAATTACTGCTTATTAAAAGACGATCCCCCCACAGCCTTCATGACCACAGCTCATCCAGTGGCACCCAGGTTCCAGAAGGTTCCAGTGGAACCTTCTCCACTTTGGTTCTGAGAATGCCTGCTACAAAGCAAAGGGCTCCGGCCAGACACCCGAGTCAGACTGTCTGGTTTGACTCGGAACCTTCTCCACTCTGGTTCTGAGAATGCCTGCTACAAAGCAAAGGGCTCCGGCCAGACACCCGAATCAGACTGTCTGGTTTGACTCCTGATTCACCAGTTAGCTGCTTGACCTGAGTGGTACCTAACAGCTTTTTTTTTTTTTAAAGATTTATTTATTTATTTATTTATTTATTTATTTATTTATTTATTTATTTATTTATTTATTTATTTATACAAGCACTGGGTACAGTCAGAAGCGCGAGAGAATTCACCAGAGCCAGAGCGGGGAGCAGAGCAGGCAGAAGGACGGAAGTACACTGCTGAGGGGAGCAGCGGGCAGCTGGAGAGGTCTGCGCGCCATGTGGGACCCTCCTCCGGTGGCCAGGGAGCAGCCGGGGATCGAATCAGCGACGCAGAGGCCACAGGCAGCTTCGCAGCCCAGCGCTCAACGGCTGCGCCACCGTGGAGGCCCCCTCACAGCTCTTTATGCCTGGCAGAGGATAAAAATCACACCTATTTCACAGAGATGTTATTAAGGCTGAATGAGTTAGTATTTGTAAAGCCCTCAGGAGAGTGTCTAGCACATAGTAAGTGTTATCTAAGTGTTTTAAAATAAACAGTGATCTTCTCCATTTTCCCATTGCTGTCCTCACAGACCTCCTAAGGTGGTGTGCTACGTGGTCTCCATCTTCACCAATGACAAGTGAGGTACCTAACCCTGGCTCTGCATCAATCACCTGGGAGGCTTATTAAAAACATATTAACTGTTACTATAAAAACTACATTAAGTGCTACTACACATTTTTTGTATTTAACTTAAAAAATTATTACAGGAGACCACCTCTTTCCAACTTGGAAGCTGACAGCATCCACTTGAAGAAGGCAAAAGCAGTAAAGGGAAAGAGGCGAGCTCGTTTCCAACACAGGCAGAGTGTGACCAGTACAGTGACATGACACTTACCAGCACGTCTACATAGAGAATCCAGCAGTGCTCACGAGGATTAATGCAGAGGGAATTCAGATCGACACTGCTCTTATTGTTAAATATCCGGTACAGGGTGTTAGCAATCTCTGTTCCAAGGTCATCACCTCCTCGACCTTCAAACTCAGGGGCAGCACTGGCTGAACTATACAGAACAGCAACAGAAAAGCAGAGTAAATCTTTTCAAATGCAAAGAGCAAAGGGGCAAGCTTGATTCCAATTTCCCTGTGGAATGAAGAAACAATGGCATCCCCCCACTTTTGCAGTCCACAGACACACTCAATGAGCCAGACCATGCACTGGATTTTTCAATGTGTGTTGGGAGTTCCCATTGACTTCTAACAGCAGCCATCTTTATCGAAAGAGAACCAAGAAATGCAATGGTAAAGTGAATACTACACTCTTATCTTGTGGATATTATAAACACTCTTCTCTAGAGGGGTCAGGATGCAGGGAGGCCTAGAGAATCAGTCTGGCTTACAGTGAGGTTGCTACATTATGAACATCAGGCCTGTTTCTCAGCTTCAGAATGCACTAAGATACTTTCAAAACAAAAGCCACAAGATAGAAACAGTAACCTTCATGGAATGATTTAGAAGATATGTATGATAGAATGCCAGAGTTATGTCAGAACCTTTAAGTTACCATTGTCCTAAAAAGCAGGAAAATTAAATAAGAAAGACTGTTGGCTGATTAAGCATTAGGTTACCCTTTTTACTTTATTTGCTATTTTTCTCTTTTCTTTTTTTTTTTAGATTTATTTTATACAAGAATCGGGGTATAGGCCAGATGCACGGGAGGGGTGAGAGGACCCACCAGAGACACAGCGGGGAACAGAAAGGGCAAACTGATGAAATACACTGCTGAGGGGAGCAGGGGACGCAACAGGAGAGGTCTGCTGAGCCATGTGGGACCTTCGCTGGCCGGCCGGGATCAAACTGGCCCTGCAGAAGCTGCGGACAGCTTCGCAGCATGGTGCTCAACAGCCTGCACCACCAGGGGAGGCCCTATTTGCTATTTTTCAAGAGAAAAATTTTTCCTATGTGGCCTCTTGATATGGCTACCCCAAATTACTTCAAGAAAGAATGAATAGGCATGAACATCTGCCATCTTAAGCACTACTCACAGTGCTTAACAGGATTTTTTTAAAAGATTTATTTATTTATGCATACCAGAACTGGGGTACAGGCCAGAAGTGCAAGGGGGGGTGGTGTAAGAGGATTCACCAGAGACAGAGTGGGGAGCAGAACAGCAGGCAAGTCAGAAGAGGTCTGCTGCACCATGTGGGTCACCTCCTTGGCCAGGGATCGAACTCGTGCTACGGTGACTGCGGATTGCTTCTTAGTGCTGATGCTTAACCCCTTGCGCCACCAGGGAGGCCCCTTAACAGGAATTTTTTGAGGGTTATGGCTTAATACAAACAAAACCTTAATATCCCCATGAGGTAAGTAAACATTTCAGTAATCATTTTACTGGAATGAATAAGGCCCAGAAAGGTAATAGACCAGTTGTTTCAGTATGTTCTCTACAATCACATATAAAGCTTTCTGATCCCCAGTCCATCTGGCCATCTGCTGGCCATCAGGAAGGTACCCCACCACCTGCTAGACACTGGGGACACAGAGACGGAACACAGCAGATGCCGACCCAAGTCAGCAATTCCAATGAAGGATCAGGGAGTTTCATGATATGGAGCAAACAACACTAACAGGTGTGGAGGGCGGGGGAGACAGCTGTCAATCAGTGTTGAGGGTTACAGGAGACCACAAACCCGAAGATGGTTTGGTGAGGGAGGAATTGGCCAGGCAGCTTTACAGGCAGGGGATTTCAGGCAAAGCAAAACTTCCTTGAAGGCCCAAGGCTGTGCCCACCCCATTTGGGTACTGCTAAAAGAAATCTCACTGAATATATATATTTATTTATTTATTTTTAAAGATTTATTTTTATTTATTTATACAAGCACTGGGTATAATCAGAAGCGCAGGAGGGTGAGAGAAATCACCAGAGCCAGAGCGGGAAGCAGAGCAGGCAGAAGGACCGAAGTACACTGCTGAGGGAAGCGGGCGGCAGGAGAGGTCTGCACACCAAATGGGACCCTCCTCCGGTGGCCGGGGAGCAGCCGGGGATCGAACCGGTGCCGCAGAGGCTGCGGGCAGCTTCACAACCCAGCACTCAACCCAGTGCTCAACTGCTGCGCCACCAGGGAGGCCCTCACTGAATATATTTAAATATATTTGTCTAGTCGATTCTAGTCCATGTATTTGTCCATTCTAATATAAGAACAAATCCTAAAACAATCAGATTGTATGGTTGTTTAGTAACTTTGCTTCTCCAATTATAGTCTTCTTTTACCACTATGAGCCAGCAGAACTGCAATTTTAAATTCCCAAGAGAAACTTCATTATTGCCATAGCAACCTCAATGTTCCTTTATTGCCTTTGCTGGACTCAGGCATTGAGCCATGAAAAGCAGCTCATTTATGGTGAAATAATCAAGTCACCAGAGACCAAGTTTATTCTGTACAGTCAGCAAAACACAACCTATTTCTAAATTAAACGCTAAGCAATCAATATTACATCCCAACACGTTCCTATAGATCTATGTGTAGATAAATCCAGTCAGAGATGCTTATGTTTCAGATGTTTACCTTTCCCTGATTATAGTGGGTACGTTCTCCTGGGTGAGTGAGAACACATGCTTTAACTAACTCGTCTACAGACCCGGGAGATGGCTGTAGAACTTTCCTGGCCCAACTGGCTAATCTAGCTACAAAATCATGCCTTTTTTTTTTTTTATACTAAGCTAATTGAATTTTATTTTTTAATTTTAAATTTTATTGATTTACCTGAGCTAATTTAAAATGGAAATTTTACCCAATTTAAAAGTTTGTTTTTAAACATTATTCACATTATTCTTTTAGAAGAAGGTTTAGTAACTCATGAGTCCATGGAAAGCTGCTGTGTGTGGATGGTGCTCTGGCCACGAAGTGACTCTGGAGAGCAGGCTGGGAGAAAGGAAGGAAACTGCTTAGGATGCAGGATGGCATGCAATGCTTGGGATAGTGTAAGAAAAACCAGAAACCTTGTATTCTGCCAAAAAAGGAAGAAAAGAGCTGGAATAGAGAAATGAGGGTCCCACCTCCTCACCAGCGGCATTCACAGCACAATGACATTTTCTGACAGAGCAAAACAGAAATGCAGACCTGGAAAGTGCCTGAGAAACCATCTCCAGAGGACAAAATGCCAAATGCCTGCAAAGGCCAGACAGGTACATGGCTATGAACAAAGGGTCACATAGAATTAATAGGAAAACTCCAGCCTTCTCTACAGGTATTTTTAATTCACCATTAAAAACAAACAAAGTGCTCGCTTCGGCAGCACATATACTAAAATTGGAATGATACAGAGAAGATTAGCATGGCCCCTGCGCAAGGATGACACGCAAATTCGTGAAGCGTTCCATATTTTAGCTAAGCTTTGAAAACAGCCCAAATGCCCAAAAATAGATGACTGGATCAAGAAGATGTGGTACATATACACCATGGAATATTACTCAGCATTCAAAAAAGATAAACACATGCAATTTGCAGCAACATGGATGGCGCTGGAAGGGATCATGCTCAGCGAAATAAGCCAGAAAGAAAAAGAAAAATACCGGATGGTCTCACTCATAGCAGGAATCTAGAAAACTTAAATAAGGGACCAGGAAAATGAATAACTATAAGAAAGTGAAAATCAAAATCAACAAAAAACTATGAACCAGAGACACTTTTTGGGGGTGGGGGCGGGAGGGAGGGATTGGGGTCAGAATGGGGGTTTGCAATTGTATGGGGGAATATAAAAATAAAATTTATTATTTAAAAAAAAAATTAAAAAAATAAAAACAAACAAAAAGTCTGTCAGTCAACTAAAATCTCAGTTGGGATCTCACCTGCAGGGTGATACCATGAGACTTCAGATGGTCTGACTCCCTCATGATATGAGGTGGGAAACTCTAACATTTTTGAATGTCAACAGCATTTTCTGACTGTTGTAGACTCCACTTTTAGCACTTCAGGTGTACTAGCTCAATTATTTCTCACCACAACCCTACATTATTATTGACCCCATCTTAAGAGACAAGGAAGAAGTCACAGAAAGATTACACAATCTGCCCAAGGTCACACAGTTATTGTTCGGGAGCTAAATTCAACGCAGGCAGCCAGGTTTGTATGCGCCAGGCTTCTCTGAACTCCCTCTCAATGTACAGTTTGGCACGCTAGGCTTGGTGCCTAACCTCAGTCAGACTGGCTTTCCTGGGGCCTGTCTTACACCTCAAGGTAATGAATGGGTGCTCTGGTCTTGGGACCTATTACTGGACCGTGAAAGTTAGAGTCAAGGAATATACACCAAGGGAGTCCAAAATGAAGAGCTTCTCTATTAAATACAAAGTTTAAAAAGAGAGAGAACACAGGCTGATAATCCTAGCCCCTGCTCATATGTATCACAATATATTCTTTCAGTAGGGGAGAATACACGCCCTCTGTCAAAAGACCAAGTGCTTTCCATGTTTACAGGCTCCAAGATCAATTCAGATCTTTCATAAAACATGACCCAGTCCCTCTTCCTGAGCTCTTGGGAAATTGCTCCCTGAGCTACATAAACTAATAAAAATGCTGGGAACGCTGCCCCTCCCAGTTCCCCACCCCTTCTGACTCATCACTTCAACTCCACTCCTCCCGCTTGGCACACCTCTGGTTTAATTAGGGTAGGCTGAAATCAAGGCCATGACTACCTTGAATGGGACTTCAGACACTAGGCTCATTGTTTCCCTTGCAATCAACTGAGCCTAAAAATCTGTGGACTCTTACAGCCCTGTGAGGCCAGGCCCAAGACAGAAAAAGTGCTTTAGTGACTACCTGGGGCAACATTAACTCCAGACCTTAGACTTCTATCAGTCATCTAGTGCCCCAAGGCAGGTCCTCATTCCTCTGATTCTTCTGTGTACACTTGTGCTCATTTCTGAGTCTGCAGAAGCTTCTAGAAGACTAGAAGCACACTTCAAGCTTTTCATTGTTTAAGTCCTTGGTTGAAGTTTCTGGGGGAGTTGTCTCATCAGCTCGGGACACACTTTCAGAATACAGCTAGTCTCAAGTGGCTTCTGCAGGTAGGTCCCTCTGTTTCCACCCCAGGCCGTAGAGTGGAGAACAGTGCTCCCTTCAAGCAGCATAAGCAAGCAAAGAAAGGCCCAACTGGCTCCACCCACTAATTCAGGGCTCCAAAGTTTCTGGCTCAATATTACTAAAAATATGTGACCACACTGGAAAGTAGTCAAGATCCCAGAGGGAAGTAATAAGTGTTGCACACACAGAAACATCTCTGAATGAAACATTCTCAACTCCCTCGGTTAAAAAAGGAAGCCTCTCTGAGAAGCTAAATCACAGTTCATAAACCCATCAACATGGTGATCAGAGATCAACATGATGGGCCACTACCTAACAGCAGCCCAGAGTAACACAGCAGTTTGGTAAATTCTTACCTACCTTTGGGCTTTAGATAGATGCAAACCATCTTTCCCCAAATTTTCAAAGTTCTTATTTAAAATTACCTATTCTCAGGTTCAAAGTAACAAAGCAAAGGTGGTTCTCATTTGCTCCCAATTGAGTGAAAGGCTGCCAGACATCTTTGGAGCACAGCTCAGGAACCCCAAGTCTTTACCACTCCATGAGTATGGGGGTGAGGGTCATTATAGCTGGGGTACCCTTTCCATAAGACATCATTTCCAAGACACACTGAAAATTATGGGGTGGGAGCCGATGTCCATGTGTTATTTCATGTTGCCAAAAACCAAACAGAACGAGTTAATAGAAAAGCAATTAGTTTTCAGAGCACCCTTACTGCTGGCACACAGGGTTCAGAAGCCACTCCTATTCACTAGATTGGAACAAAGGTCTATGTTTGTTAATGGTGAAGGGTTGCTCCCGGAAGACCCAAATGAGGTTCTGACTAAGGTGGTAGGCAGCAATGCTTGGTAATCCCTCCCTTCTCTGTAGGAAATGGGGTTTTATGACTCCTCAGGGTAATTCTACCTGCTGAGCTGTTCCAACTGAGCCATTTAAAGCAGCTAAAATTGCAGCCTTGAGATTATCCCCTTAAGAGATTCAGGAGAACTACCTGGGAACTGGAGCTTCTGGGCCTGCTGGGGTTCTCCTGAGACAAAGCGGGGAGAAGCATCTAGTAGGCAGCCACTCTCAGCGAGGAAAGGGGCTACTCCTAGCCCCTTTGGGGCTTGGGAAGACACTGCTCAAAGACTCCTCTCACCCTGGAGCGAAGACAAGAAAAGGACAAGAGCAGCAGGCTAATCTATAGTCATGTCCAGACACAGAGCCACAACAAACAGTGGATCCTATACCAAGCATCTGAGGGCAACACCTTCTCTTTGGTGTGGTTGGCCTGATTGCCTGGGTCTTCCTAAGATAAATGAGGTAAAAAATAATGAAGAGGAAGAAAAGGAAAGCAAATTATAGTTCTTCACACATGGTATCTGCTCATCTGTAAAGTTTGCTGCACTAAATTAGGCAGATCAAGGCCAAGAGAGACATTTTTCTTCCACCAAAAGCAAAGAAAGGGAGAAGCTAGAGGCTTGAACAAGGCCAGGCATCCACAGTAACTCAAATGATGGGCCAGCTCCAGTGGGGAGCTCAGGCTGATGAGAGCAGCTGGACAGAACCTGGAGACTGTATGAGAGGCTAGGGCCAGGGGAAGGGATGGGCTAGAAGGAAAACTGTTAAGAAAGACAAACACAGCTATGTTCTGGGACCTCTAAAGACAGCATCTTTCTAAAGCTGAACTCTGCAGACTGCATGAAATAGAAAAAACAAAGCCTTCAAGTAAGACAGGCCCTAACTGGCATTACTAGCTATGTGACTCCAGGAAAGACACTTACCCTCTCCGAACTCCATCTCTCATCTCTCTCACATAAGTGTGTCGAAGATCAATTCCTGGGCTTGGGAGTGTGAAGTGGAAGACCATAGCTTGCTAGACAAAGGTGGGTTAGCCTCTGTGCAGAAAAGGGCTGACACAGCAGACCCAAGGTTGCTATCTTCAGTACGGTCTGCTCGCAACAGTGGCTGTCAGCTGGCATCCGGCATCTGGGAAAGTGGCTCTCAGAGTGTCCCCAGCACCAGTAAACTGTGATCCACTGTGCCAAGATTGCTGGTGCAAATAATATGCTTTATGCTGAATGCTTTCTACTTTCTAGGAGTCTGGAATTTTCGTGTATGTTCAGCAGAGAGTGCCTATGTAACCAGTCCCTATAAAAATCTTGAGTACTTAGGTTCTAATGGGTTTTCTTGGGCAGAATCACGTTACTGCATTTTCACTGCTATTAATAAATCTTAGCCATGAGTACAATTATATGTTACGTCGTGTTAAGTCCAAATGTGGAGGGGGTCTTGGGGACACCTGATACATATCAATATTATAAACCTGCACCTAGCAGGAGCTAATAGTGACCCTTACCCACCTAAAGAAGGCTGCCAGCTATAAGTGAAACTATAGATAGGAGAGACTGCATCAGCAACCCAATAAAAAGCTCCCAGCCCTAGCAGGGGGAGGTAACAAGATGAAGATGAATAACATTTATTAAAAGCCCACTGGGAGTAGTAATTGTGCTAGGTGCTCACTCTTCATTATTTCACTTCTTCATCACAGTTATTATGATCCCTATTTCTTAGATAAAGAAATGCAGACAATGACATACTAAGTAACTAGCCTAAGGTCACACACTGGCCCAAGAAGGAAGCCAGCAGTAAGGCTGGCTGGCAGCCAAGACTGCAGAGTCCCCTGCCCTTGCCAGCATCCACACTGCCTGCCCAGCTGCCTGTCAGGATACTTTGCTGGCCTTAGTTCTTGTTCTGCCAAGCAAGTCATGAGAAATTTTCTGCAAAGCTAAAACAGGAAAAGAAATAGGGCATTTTAGATCAAAGGTTGCTCATCTATGTCTGCTATATTTCAAAGCCTGGTAACACTCATCACTTCATTTGACTCTCCGCACAACCAAGGGCTGGGCTGTGGCAGACACCCTCCTTTTTTAGACAGGGAAAATGAGGCCCAGCAAGGGCCAAGGGATTAGGATGAAGGTGGGACCTGAGCCAAGAATCCCACATATTCCAGGGCTTGGCACACAGGATAAACTCAGTAAATACCTGCTGGCTAGATGAATGATTTAAAAAATATAGAATAAAGGTGAGCTCAACATGAAACCAGTAAATCATTTTTCTTGAAAAATAGCTGCATGGTACTGACCAGTCGACAAAGAACTCCAAGTAACCTTCATTTGGCTTCTCCAGTTTCGGCGTCCCCATTTCTGCTTTCACTCCCACCAAGATGTCTGTGTGGCCCTGCAGACAAACAAGAAGGGTCCTTGCTCAGGGCTGGCAGCCAGGTACCCACCCATCTCCCTTCTTACCCAATCATACACCACTGGGCATTCTCTCAGGTACAGGGCTGGGCCTTGGAATGTGGCCCTTAGAGAACCAAGGGGTCCTTCAGAGCTCAAAGGACTCCCTCCCTGAGTTTGGCTTGGGTCTTGGCTTTCCTCAGGAACAACTTGCACTCCAAAAGCCTGGAGGAGCTGGCTCCTCAGGCCCTCCCCATCCTCGACCTGGGCATGGGCTGTGGCCATAATACTCACCAGCTTGACCCTGGCAGACCCACTGGTGTTAGACACCACGTCGGTTTCGACTTCAACACACCGGTAGTCCTCGCAGCCGCGGCCATCCACGCGGAGGTCTTCCTAAGTGCAGCAAGCACAGTCCCATAGAGTTTAAACTAATTTGCTCCTTCCCCACCTGGGAGAATGTGCAGTACATAATCTCCCTTTCTTTTAGTGGCTCATCCAAAATCCTGTCCTCATAGCAAATAATATTGCTATTTTACATGTGAGGAAACAGAGACTCAGAGAAGTCAAGCAATTCATCCAAGGTCCCACAGCTACAAAGAAGTTTCCATCCCAAGTCTGCCCAACTGTTATATACCACTGGACAGAACAGGCACAAAAACAGATAAAATATTGAGGAGACAAAACAAACTGCCTCTTTTCAAATCTGCAATTCTGAAATTGTACCAAAAGGTGCGTTGTCAGAGCTACAAAGTAAAACTGTCTTGCCAAAGCCATCTAACTCCCCAAACTCAACAAGATCTATTGTCAACAGCGCAAAACAACTAGCTGGTATGTTTTAAAACAAGCAATCTCTAGGACATGGCGACACACTTAGGCCTGCAGGACCACCCGTTTTGTAAATCATTTTACTGGGATGTTACCATGCCCAGTAGGGTCATGATGGCCAGCAGATTGAGTGGTTGTGACAAAGGCCCTACGACCTGCAAGCACCAAATCCTTACCTTCTAGCCATTAACAGGAAAAGTCTGCTAACCCTTGCTGCAGAAGAGAGGTTTTAAGGTGGTCTACATACTACGTGTCCCTTATCCCCATTTATTTCTTTCTTGTATTACTCACAGACTCTATTTTAGGCTCTGGTTATTTACAATCCAATACTGCCATTATTTATCTTGTTGCTCAAAGTGTTCCAGATTTGGACACTGGGAGTTCCTTTGGATTGGCTGCTGCGTCTTTTCAACATGTCTCCAGTCTTTTCTGAGCACTTCTTTACTTTCTGGCAATACAAGATAATATGGCCTCTTGTGTTTTCCTTGCCTCCCTCCTTTCTCCAAGGAGTCATGGTTCTTTTTATTGGAGAAAGGAATCTAAAAACCAAGATCTGGGTACTAAGTAGGTTCATTACTACTGGGGTGTCACTGATACTAGACCTTCTCGGCAGACAGAACTAGAAAATTATGTGTGTTTACCATTCCATGCATGTGTTTGCATGCGCATGCACACGCACATGCACACACACACACAGTTATTTCTGCTATGCATTCATGTATCTATTAAAATGCCATGTGTTCATACTGTAGCTGGATTCCAATTTAACACCACAGCCTTCTTCCTTGTCCTATATGTAAATTCTTTCTCAGTGGGTGAGAAACCTGGCTCTCAGATTTCTCTCATCTAAGCATATGTTTCTGTTCAATGTCTTAAGATACATATACAAAAAGTACTGTCAGAATTGCTAACCCATGCTTCAGTGAGAAGCGAACTTATTAATATCAACAGAATACCATATTTGTGAGGAGTTCCTATGTCTTTGACATAGGTTACCCAGTTAAATACTGTTTTCCAGTCACCTCACCCACACCTTCACCCTGCTGTTACTCATCTGTACCCCTTTCAGGTTAACCTGAAACTGTTTATGTTCCAATTTGTCCTCCACATTCTGGCTACTTTTTTGTTACTTATTTACTTTGGGGGTATACATACCCCCCACCCCAATTTCTAGAAGTAAAGGCTATTAGAAAAGATATGCTCAGAGAAATGGGACTTCCTCTCTTCCTATTTCCATGCCGGCTGCTTTCTACCCCTCTCCCACCCACCAAGGCACGTAACCAGAGTCTTTAGTTTCTGCTTCATCTTTCCTGTATTTCATTTGCACAAATGTGCAGGTGCATGAGTATTTTTTCTATCCCATTCTTATATGACAGGTGATATACTGCATGTGTATTTTCTTTTAAACAACAAATAAGCATGAAATCAATCCACTCCACATAGGCACAGAGAGATCCTCTTCATTCTTATAAACATTTTTTTAAAACACTTTTTTCCAGAAAGGGAATAATTAGCTTTATCAGATTCTCAAAGGGGTTAATGTTCCTCAGCATGTCAAAAAAAAAAAAAAAAAAAAAAAAAAAAACAATGGGCCTCCCTGGTGGTGCAAGGGGTTATGTACCGCACTATGAAGCAATCCACAGCCTCTGCAGCAAGAATTTGATCCCTGGCCAGCCAGGGAGAAACCCACAAGGTGCAGCAGACCTCTCCTGACTCGCCCGCTGCTCCCCTCAGCAGTGTACTTCAGTCAGTCTGCCTGTTCTGTTCCCTACTGTCTCTGGTGAATCCTCTCACCCTCTGCATCTCTGGCCTGTACCCCAGCTCTTGTATGCATAAATAAATCTTTAAAAAAAAAAACAGTACTCTGAAGTTCATAACTGTTAAAAACTTATCTTTAAACTGCCATGCTAACTGCCTATGTGATTGACTTTTTTATTTTGAGAAATTAAAATACAGAAAAGCAAAACACTGCATGCTCCAACCACACAGCACTAACTAATACCATCTGTCGTGTTTGTCTCAGTTCTCACTCTCTCTCTCAACTCCTGTTAAAGGGGAGAAAATATAAATCATATCAATAAGACTGTGGGGGAGGGAGAGGTGCTAGGAGGAGGATGAGGTAGGAAGGACAAAAAAAAAAAACCTAAGTCAGGCTGAAGTCCTTTTACCGCCCATCCATTCCCAGCCTGCCCCCTCCCTGGAGGTGAAACCAGTCCCTCAAAGCTGAAATCCATCCCAAAAAGAGGCCTGCGTTCCTTCTGCCCACAGCTCAGCTATTAACCAAATCTAACCGCTTTCTGTTTTCCAGGCTGACCAGCTGAATCAAATAATGAGGACCCTTTGCCACAATACCAAGGCTAACTATTCTTCCAGAGCAGTTCTGCTTAGACAGATAAAGAAAACCTAGCAGCCCAGGCCTAGCTCTCTGTCCACAAGGTGTCACACATCAGAAGGACAAGAGCCCACCACTATCCAATGGCCTTCAGCCAACTCTGCCTTCCCGTTTCTGTGTCCATTCTACCCAATGATGTCCTGCAAATCCCGGAGTCCCTGACCAATGAAATTCAACTCTTTTGTTCTGCCAAGCCCCACTTCCCAAAATGGTATATGTCCCTTTCCTATCTGTGGAAAGGGATGCTGACCCATCTGCATTTAAATTTAAGTTAATAAGGTGACTTTTGGAAATTCCTAAAGGTGGGGAAGGGCGGGTTGATAAGGGAACTAAGCCTGACTAGAAGGTTGGGACTCTCAGCCCCACCCCTGATTTATGAGGAGGAGAAAAGGGCTGGAGTTAGAATCAATTGCCATTAGCCAAGGACTTAATAAATCATACCTATGTAATAAAGCCTCTGTAAAAATGCAACATCCAAAAGGAGGGAATTTGAAGACCTTTCAGGTTGGGGAACCAAAAAGCATCCATACATGCTGGGACCCAAACTCCACAGGGACAGAACTGTGCATCTCTTCATCTGGCTGTCAACTCATTGCTTTTTAATATCCTTTGTAATAAATTAACAATCTAATAAGTAAACTGGTTTCCTGAGTTCTGTGAGTCACTCTAGCAAATTAAACAAATCTAAGGAGGAGGTTCTGGGGAACCTCTCATGTACAGCCAGTTGGTCAAAAGCACAGATAACAACCTGAACTTGCAATTGGCATAAAATCAGGGGCAGTCTTGTGGGGCTGAGTCCTTCACCCATGGAATCTGATTCTCTTTCCAACTGGATAGTGTCAGAACTGCCTTGAATTGTAGGACACAAAATTGGTGTCTGAGAATTATTTAGTGATGTGGGGAAAACTGATACACAAATTGGTGACAGAGATGGTCTCAAAGATGCTTCTCTAATTCCACAGATCTATAAATTAAAATAGCCATAAATATTTGCAAAAGCAAATAATGGCTATCCAACATACATTTACAATATGCCAGATAATGTGTTAGCAAAATCAGAAAGTTAACATTACAATAACCCAATTAGATAGGTATTTTTTCAATCCATTTTACAAGTGGGGAAACAGTCTGAAAGATGCTAAATGGCTGATCCAAGGTCACAAAGTCAGCAAGCAGCGCTGGAATTCCAAGCCAGATCTCTTAACCACAATTCCACACGGCCATCTGCACTTCACAGGGTGTCGACACAGGCCTCCCTCCAAGGATCAACTAGCTGGCTATACCAGTGATGATGGTGATAACGACTCTGGAAGCAGGGAGGCCACAAATTACAGATTTCCAACCATTACTTAAATATCACTCACTCCAGAAAGATCTCATACCACACCATTGCTGTGACAACACTCTAGTTCCAGCATGGGGTTAAAAGAGTGCCAGAAAACTGGGTCTCACTAGATTTTTCCTTTTCAGCCTTTAAATCACTCTCCACTTCCAGGAGAAGGCTCAGTAGGAAAGGTTCAGGTGACAAGATAAAACAAACAGCTACAAATTTTCTTTTCCAGGTACACATAAAACTTTATTTTCATAGTAATAAAGCACCTAAAAATACAGAAGAAAAACAGGGTCTCCCCAGTGGCGCAGCGGTTGAGCGCTGGGTTGCGAAGCTGCCCGCAGCCTCTGCAGCGCCGGTTCGATCCCCGGCTGCTCCCGGGTCACCGCAGGAGGGTCCCACATGGCGTGCAGACCTCTCCTGCTGCCCGCTGCTCCCCTCAGCAATGTACCTCGGTCCTTCTGCCTGCTCTGCTCCCCGCTCGAGCTCTGGTGAATTCTCTCACCCTCCCGTGCTTCTGACTGTACCCAGTGCTTGTATAAATAAATAAATAAATGTTTAAAAAAAAATACAGAAGAAAAACAAATTTAAAAAAAAAAAATCAAACTAGTTCACAAATCACTGCATCCAGGCAACTTATTTTATCCAGTTTTCCTCATAAAATGCTTAGGAAATTGCCCAAGCCTGTTTGACTTGGCTCAGTGCCTGGTGCCCTACCACAATTTTCATTTATCTGTAGGATTCAGGAGCAAAGGAATTAATCCACCTGTGAATACTTAAACAGGGGCTGCTCTGAAGTGAAAGCTCCATTTGAAAAATCAATAGCGATGTCAACAGCTGATGGAAGCAGCTTGGAGCGGAGCCCTGTCCTTCCCAACAGAGACTAAAGCACCTTTCCACATAAGGGTTCCTGATGCCAAGAAGGCTCCTGGAGACGTGCAAGTTGTTCCCCTTGTGACCACAACAGCCCTGGTGTTTGAATATGGTGTGGGGGAGTCACCTTCCAACCTATATTAAGTCCCTGCTGTCACACACCAACTTTGTGACTATGAGTAAGTTCCTCAACTGCCCTGTCTCTTCACCTAAAAAGAAGCCAGCCCACCATGCAGTTATAGGAGAATGGAAAAGCCGTAAGTCATTTAAGGGCAACCCTCAGCACAGTAAGACTGCTCCTCAGCAGTTCCCTTCCCTTGCTTCTGGGAGGCATATATTAGCTCACTGAATCCTCAAAAACTACCCTGGAGAGAGAAAACTGAGGTCCCAAGTTTCAGTATCCTGTGTGTGACAGAGCGCAAGGACAGACAAAAGTAACTGCCCAGAGTTACTTTTCCTCACACCCAGGGAACCCAGTGCTCTACTCCTTAATAAAATCTGACAAGTTGGCCCTTAAGATTCCAACACGCTTGGAGGATGTGACACTCAAGTGGTCCTCTAAGGTGATGTGAATCCCCATTACATTGCTTTGACTCATCAATATTCAGAGCTTATAACTGAGCCCAGAATGCCACCTCCCCCACCTAAAAAGTGACCCCCCCCCCAGGAGAGGGACAATATGTGGTCCAGCTGTGAGGCCCAGGCCCAAGACACAGCATGCAAACCTAGATGTTGATCCTTACTTCACTTTCTAAGCCTGTTGAGTAGCCCCAAATTCCTCAGAAGGCTGTGATTCTATTTACCTTGTGAAGTGCTGGGGTGCAGACTTCTTGTGCCAGGGGTCTGTAAATGGAAATGCCACAGTGCTAAAAATCAAGAGGGGGCTGGGGCTGGCTCCTGCTTTGCACAGCTGAGTTGAGCCACACAGCACTGACTGCTCAATCCCACAGCTCAGTTTAGTCCTGCACTCCCTTTTCGGTGCTGCTCCCCTCAACAACTGCTTACAATTAAAGTCAGACTCAGAACTGAAACCATCAGCTGACACACACTTCATTACAACTGCCAAGAAAATTCAATGAAATGGCTTTGACAAGGCCCTAGGAGGAATGCTTCTTGGTAGGGCTCATCAGCTGCTGGGGCCCAGTCTGAACCTAGGAGAGCCAATCTAACATCCAGGTCAAGGCCACAGTAAGCAGAACTGTGGAAAGAAAGAGGTTGTGCCTACTCAGGCCATGTAACTGAGTCACCACTTACCTCCACTGCTGAACCAGGCGTACATACCAAAACCAAAGGCCTACAATCTAGCAAAGCCAGCTCTTTTTGTTCTGGAACTGATTCTCCCCTTGGAATTGGATCTCTGATCTAGGAAATACTTGAGTGAAGGAAGTTAAGAGCAGATGAAGGGAAGCTGAAGAAGTCTCTCTCTCTCTCTCTCTCTTTCTCTCTCTTTTGTCGTGCCTCACCCTCCAGTGGCCATGTTTGAGCCTAACAATTCATCCTCTCCCCCAACTCAAGCTAAACAGTTTTTTCCTCCTGGGAATAAGAAATCGAAACTGAAATAGAAAAGCTGATTTTTCATATACAGGAACTATAACCCCAGGAGTTGGGAAGTAACCACATTCTTTCTAGCACATGAACTGAGCAACAGAAAGTCAATCTGAAGAAAGATCAAAATAGCAGCAGAGCTGAGCAAGGCAGAGCCTGAAGATCCAGGTGCCCTTGAATTCTTGGAGAAACACAGCTTCTAAAACATACTTTTTAGCTTCAGTCAGTTTATTGGTTACTACAACTAGAAACTAAGACCTCAATATTCATGTTGAGGTTAACTGCAACTGCTCTTAACCACCACGAAATCAAGATGAAATATCCCTGAAATAGTAAAGAAATCAAAGGTCAAAAAGAAAGAGATTCCAGAAGCTGAAATGACCATGCTGGACCAAAGGTGAAGAGCAACACCAAAATGATTAGGTCTGTTCTGGCAAGAACAGGAATCCAGCAAAGCATTGCTTAAAGTGCACTGCTGGCCCTCAAGAATAGTTTTGACAATTTTAAAACTAAGTCAATAGACATCCCATGCTGGGTTCATTCACCAGTATTCTGACCTTTATCCATGGTATGAATTCTGTCTTGCTCCTCCATAAACAAAGAATTTCATTTCACTTCATAAACAGTAAATGTGTGGCCAATGTTAACCATCCCTATGAAGAGATTTATTTAAAGTTAGTTAATCGGCTTTGTTCTATGATAGACAGAGCTGAGAATTTATCAACAACTGTGGCTGTGATATCTCCATGGTACTGGCAAGAGTGATTTCATTTAAAAAATGAAATCATTGTCCAAATCATCTCTCCTTTAAGGCCTGATTTATTCAATGTCACTGAGTACTAACCAAGTGTTAGACACTGGCTAGGCCGTAAGTGTACCATACAGTCAACAGATTATTACCTTCTAAGATCCACAACGAAGGAATGACTGACCCTCTCAGACTCCTAGGATCAGGCTTCTGGCCACCCCTGCAACCTGATCTTCCACCATTACCCCCCTCCAGATCCATGTTTCCTCCACCTAAGGGCTGTGGAGTATCCGTCCATCTGGAAGGATCAACCATACTTAATTCTGGGTCACTCTGAGAATTCAGCACAATGCCATTTCCTTAGCCAAGCCTCCTTTGACCTCCCAGCCTGGATTGGGTTCCTGTTTTCTTTTTTCACAGCACTCAGTACAATTTTATAAACACAAAATAGAACTGTACTTTGTCTCTTCCTTCTAGCAAGGGAGCTCTATAGGCAGAATGTGCCTTCTATCCCAAGACTAGCTCAGTTCTAGGTCGAATGAATGAATACTGAATCTTGAAGACACAAAGGAAAGACACATGATGTGGATTTAAGGGAGCAATTCCATTCTCTTTGGGAGGTCTTCAGGGCAGTATAGTCTCAGTATTTTTAGTTCCTTTGAATTCCACTAACTATCCATTGCCTTTAATGGATAGTTGATGGAAAAGTAATCTCAGAGGCTGAAATTGACCATATAGACCAAAGGTGAAAAGCAAAATACAAAATAATTAGGTCTGTACAGGCAATAACAGAATTCCTGCTAGGTCTTGGAGTTAAGTTTGGGAGAGGTCTCTAATCTGGAAGGCTACAGAAGGACATACCTGGCTTTCCTTGGGAGCTCACTACCAAGCCCAGGATTCTCCAACTCTGCTTCTGGAGTGGTCAAAACTAGGTACTGAAGACTGAACACACGTCTTAGTATAGTAATTGCTACCTCTCAGGATCTCAGTTCTCCACTGGCAGAATGAGAAATGGCAACAATTAAACTACCGGCTGTGGGACCGCTTTTTAAACACGCCTCCCTCTTGAATTTAAAGGTGATTTATTACTTTCAGAGTTTTCACCTCGGGTGCCTTCGCTCTCAATGAGGAAAAGCAGGCCAGAAGCCCATGAAGCGACAAGCGAAGGCAAATTAACAGCCCGGGGGGGGGGTGAGGGGGGAGCGATGCTTTCTCGAGAAAGGCCTCAGAGACCGCCCACAGCTTCCAACTCGAGCTTAGAACTGCAGACCCGAGAGGCTGAAAGGCCGCATACAGTCCTACATGGAGTTCGCGGTCCTACAAACGGCCGCGTTGGCTGGCCTTGGGCTGCGAATGCTGGCCGCAGTTGTTTCATCACGGGGTGAACCCAGTTTCGCCGCAGCCCTAGCCGCCTCCTTCTGGGCAGGAGGCCGGCCGCGACCTGGGGGCCAGGGAAACCCGAGGGCCGAGGCTGACTCCGCTGCTGTAGCTACCTGGACGCCGTGGACGATGTACACCTTCTCCGCCTCGCTCAGCGCCACCGACGCCATGCTGCCGAGGTGCCCCGCGCGCCGCACGTCATCCGCCCGCGCCGCCCCTCGCCTCCCCGCTCCCCGCCACCCGCGAGTGCGTCATCAGCCTGCGCGGCGGCCGCTCCTGCAGCCGCGGCCGCTGCCAGTGCCGGGAGCTCGATGGGCTTCTTCTGCGCGCCGCCGCGTGTCTGGCCGAGCCCAGGGAGCCGCGGCGTCGCGTGCTGGGGAGCCATCGCTGCAGCCCGAGGCCGGGTCCCAGGTCGGGGGCTGCAGGGGAGGCCACGGCGGCGGCGGCGGGAGCCCCACCGGAGGCCTGGGACTGGGAAACTGCCTCCGGCTTCACGGTCAGTTGGGAGAGGAAACTAGGGTTGGGTGGAAATGCTGGGCTGAGGTGAGAGGCGCCGGCCAGAGTCGGGCCGGAGGACTCACCGTGGGAGAGGCGCGCGGCGCAGATTGCTCAGCTGGAGTTGAAGTAGCAGGTCGTGGTTGTGATCGAGAGAGAGACAGAGACTGAGACGGACTCTGAGCAAAGGGAAGCGGATATCGTGATTCTCGTTGGGGAGGCGGGGGTAGCTGTCTCCCCTCTCCACCATCCCCACTCCATTTGCCCAGTTTCCAAGATGATTTAAGAGAAGAGGCAGTGAAGCACTCTTTAGGTTCTTCTCGGTGGTACGGATCCGGCTGGTCTGTGGAACATTGTCCCAAAGAGAGTGGGGAGAGTCGGTGGCTCGTGCTGGCGAGGGGCGCGGTGTCCAGGTATCCCCCGTGCTTCCAGTGGCGACTGGAAGCCCCGGTTTTATCTCTGGGATCTGTGGACAGCTGCGGGGCGGGGAGCCAGCCCCTGCCGTCGCTGAGTAGGAGTACGGGCCTTGGATATCCCAAGAGGATACCTGCAAGGTGAATATGGGGTCACTGAAGGAGCCCATTAAGGCGGTGCTCACAGAGTATGGTAGAGATTTTAAAGGGGTCATGTGGACAAATGGGGAAAAGTTAACCCAAAGTAATTTACCAAGGAGATCAGAGGGCTTTTCCAAAGTCCCATTTTTGATAAACCTCTCTGTTTTTGAAAGTGAAAGTAACCGTTAACAGCTTGATCAAGGAATGAACCAGCCTTTCTCAGATAGTGACTTCAGTATACTTTCACAGGTAATTATTGGGAGCCTTCCTTGGATAGGAAGGCTAACTTTGGAACACTAAGATAAGAAAAACATAACTTCTTGGCAGTGGGGAAGGCTCCAAGGCCAACATAACCAAAATACATGGTGGTTAAGAGCTATGATGGTGGGCCTCCCCTGGTGGCACAGCGGTTGAGCGCTGGGCTGTGAAGCTGCGAAGCTGCCCACAGCCTCTGCAGCGACGGTTCGATTCCCGGCCACCAGCGAGGGTCCCACATGGTGCGACAGACCTCCCCTGTCTCACCCGCTGCTCCCCTCAGCAGTGTATTTCGTCAGTCTGCCTGTTCTGTTCCACGCTCTGACTCTGGTGAATTCTCTCACCCTCCCGCGCTTCTGACTGTACCCAGTGCTTGTATGTATGTATGTATGTATGTACAAATAAATAAATAAATAAATCTTTAAAAAAATAAAATAAATTTAAAAAATAAAAAAAAGAGCCATGATGTTGGCACGGATGGGCACAGTGGATGGAAGATGAGTCAAAGAAGGGCACCTGCCTACATTGTTAAGCACTAAACCGCTGAGCCCCCAAATCACTTCTTAGGAAACTGGACATTCGTTGTTTCTTATGTCCCTACATAGTTCTATACAGCTGTAGGGAAAAGGTCTTGTAGGGATGGACTTTGCCCTCCAGGAAAACTGGAAGAGTTGAAGCTGGCAGGATTTTCTCCCCACCTATTGTGGAGTATAGATGCCTTTATGTGTGGCTGGATCCCTGGATTCTATGTGAGGAATTTTGTGTGTTGCGATAACATGGGGCTGCCGGTTTTAAAAATGGTGCTTTGTTCTACAGATTGCTCAAAAAAGGAGAAACCCTGGATGTGGAATTCTAGCAGCTAGAATATCTAAGGGGATTGAGGATTTAAAAAGCAACATCAAATGGACAGATCAGAAAAGACACACAAAGGAAAGTTTGTATTCCATGGAATCATCTTTATATGAAAATCATTTTATGTCTGTTAAACTATAGAACATATATTTGAACTGTTCCCCTGACAGTTGACTAAAGATTTCTTGCTAGAGGAGAGTTGGCAGTATTTGCTAAATAGTATTGTGAACAATGTCTGACATGTTAGGCCAATTAAAAGTGAGAATTTTAGGGCCTCCCTGGTTGTGCAAGGGGTTAAGACGCAACTTATGAAGCTATCCGCAGCCACTGCAACATGAGTTCGATCCCCAGTCAGGGAGCTACCCACATGGCGCAGCAGACCTCTCCTGACTTGCCCACTACTCCCCTCAGCAGTGTATTTCAGTCAATCTGCCTGTTCTGTTCCCCACTCTGTCTCTGGTGAATCCTCTCACCCCCCACACCTCTGGCCTGTACCCCAGTTCTTGTATGTGTAAATAAATAAATCTTTTCTAAAAAAAAAAGTGAGAATTGTAGACAAAATCTTCATGTTAAATTCTCTGCTAAAACAATGACAGCTTTATTAATTTTCTACTTCAATGTAGCCAGAACATTTTTGTCATGTTGGTTGTTAAGATGCATTAGACATTGTTAAAATCCCCGAGTTCAGAGTTCTATTTTGGTCTATTGGAGCAATTCAAAAAGTGTAAGTGGCAGAGTCAGGATTTGAGAGCTGTCTAATTCATTACCATCACCTCATGCTGTCCCTCCTCAGGTTCCATTTCATTCATCAGAGTATTTGGTGAAGGAGGCCTATCTATCTTTGTTATGGAGTCGATGACTGCTCTATAAGCTATTGTTAGTTTTAATTCCAAAAGCAAGGAGTCTGTTCAAGCATAAACTTACATCCCTCTAATCCTTTTTCTAGACGAACATGGAACCGCCTGCTGATGGGAAGTCCCATATTTATTTTACCCCATCCTTTTAGATAAGGGAAAATGTTACATACAAGTCAAGTAGAACTTAACTCAGAGTAGCTGAGGGAAAGCCCTCAACAGCAAAGAAGGCCAATGGATCTCTATAGAAAGTTGAGTTAAGCATGGAGACCCAGATTTCAACCTTATGCCTTACTCCCAGGGTAAGCATCTAGAAGCTTTTCAAACAATTAGAAACATTTGCTGTGAGTCCCTAGTGTTCTCCTGGATCGGAAGAGGCGAGAAGCTGAAAACACATGCCTGGCTAAAAGCAGTTTAGGATTTATTATAGATAGAGCACCTAAGCACTTGAACTAGTACATGCAGAAGACAATAAAATAAAACGGTGAATTGAGACCTGTGGTAATTAGAGGAGAGGCCAACCTATAATAAGGTGCTAATTGTGTATGCCAGGTATCCAGGGCAAGAGGTAAAGAGCCGCTGCTAGCCACTAGCGGGCAACAATAACAGTGTAGAGCAGAAAATGTCCCACCTAACCTTGGTTAATTAAAGCAATAAAAGGTGGTTACAGAAGAGCTGCAGGGCAGTGTTGATTCTTGGTGCTGAAGTTGCAGAGAGCTCGTAAAAGCCCAGCAAGGGACATCTTACCCCAGGTCTTAAACAGAGGTAGACAAGTTGTAAGCCTTTTTCTCTGCATTCACAATTAGTCTAGCACCCCCAGAATAGCACAAGTTGTGCTATTTTCTTGATAGATTTATTTCCTTTAAACACTCTATCTGTCCTACCTGTACCTTGTCTTAAATAATCTATGCAGGGCCTCCCTGGTGGTGCAAGGGGTTGAGATGCAACCTATGAGGCTATCCACAGCCACTGAAGCACGGGTTCGATCCCTGGGCAGGGAGCTGCCCACATGGTGCAGCAGACCTCTCCTGACTCGCCCACTGCTCCCCTCAGCAGTGTATTTCAGTCAGTCTGCCTGTTCTGTTCCCCACTCTGTCTCTGGTGAATCCTCTCACCCCCCACACCTCTGGCCTGTACCCCAGTTCTTGTATGTATAAATAAATCTTTAAAGAAAAAAAATAACCTATGCAAACAAGCTGCCATCATCTGGCCAGCAGAGCTGCTTTTGTCTTGTGACTCTAGAAATTCTATCTTGGGATTACAGTGATAGAAAAGTTCATAGGAATGCATGGGTAAAGCTTATTCTCTCTCAGAGAAAAAGTCTTCCCATGTATTTCCTTTTGAGAGAGTGACAGGAGACTTCCTATGTCTCTCTTTAGGGCATATGTGACTAAATGGGGTCATATATCCTGATTGGCAAATCTGTAAATATTTAAACACATATATGTACTCTGCTGGCCTTAGAAAGTAACAGAATCCAAAGTAGAAATGGAAGAGTAATATCTGAATACTAACTTCTTGAGGGGAAAAAAGGAGGCGTTTCAGCCTCTAGTTTCTTCCTGTTTTTTGCATTTTTTTTTAATGACTTGTTTTCCTCTTTAGAAACATATTCCCAGAGAAACATGGTCATTCCAGGTTCTCAACTATGAAAGTGAGAAGGTTACAGTAGAATTTTTCACCTCACTGATCCAGAAATATCAGAAAAACACCATCTTTTGATAGTCTCTTCTAAACTCTAACCTTCCTGGTATGGAGATATTTGCAACTGGACTCTGAATTTTCTGGGCCACCTGGACTAGAATATTTCTTCTTGTGCATCAGCAGAGATGGAATCTCTTTGGGTGGGATCCACTTCCCACCTGAGGAAAATAAGCCTAGTGGAATAAGTACAGTTCTGGCCACAGTTCTGTTGCAAAAAGTTTTGACTTTGCTATGTACAAAGTGTCTTTCTAAACCAAAAAATAGTAGCAGAGAATCCGGAAAGGCAGGTTGGTTTGGAAGATTACCATCTATGATGGAAAGATTCTTGGGTGTTTATTCCAGAGAATTGGAGTTGGCCCCTGAGAGTTAACCTCTCTATGCCTCATTTTACCCTAACATGCTTCTATTACCAAGTTGTAAAATTCCGAGTAGATTCTGGGTATACAAATATTTGAACACTGAAAAATGGTCATATTTAATTTTGGATTTTCAGATTTTCTCTTTTGTAATATTTGATGTATTTTGATAGTGCTTTTTCCACCATCACCCCCCCAAAAAATTAAATGCATGAATAAAAGGAAATGGTAATAACATGCCATATTAGAGCGAAAAAACTGAACATGCTCTGGAAAATTGCCAATAGACAGGCATTGATGGGAATGTCTTTTTGAATGTTAACAAAGTTAAGGGTAAAGTTTTGGTAAAAATATAGAATCCAGGAAATTAACAAAGAAAATGTTGAATTTGTTCCTAAGAACAAAGGAACCATAATAGCCCTGCACGAGACCTTAGTAATCATCTCAGCCTTCCCTCTTGTTTTATAGATGAGGAAACTATCGCTTCTCGGCCTTTTGGCTAAGATGAAGTGTATATATGAGGAAACTGAGGTCCAGGGAGAATAACTATCTTGTCCCAAATCACAAGGTTAGCTGCAAGTAGAATTCTGATCTCTTGACTCTAAGCCCATCTTCATTCTAATTCACACTGGCCTCCTGCCTATCTCCAAAGTTCTTTAACAAATGCCAGAGAGTCCCTTGCTGGCAGGCAGGAACTTGAACTTGAACTGACAAAAGCACACCAGCTTCATTGCCTCAGTCCCAGGCTTCTCCCAAGGCCCTACTCTTGCATTGCTACATGAGTGCCTTGGACAAATAGGGTCAGCAGAGACCTAAAAGCTAAGTGTCTCCCCTTCTTCAAATCTGGTACATTTGCAATAACTGCTTCACTCTTCTCTTCCCTAGCTCTTTCAAATCTCTCCAAACATTTTTGGTTTTAGTCCCTAAAATAGCCAAAGTCTTGCCTGGGTGATGTCACAGTGGCTGCATACCTGCGCATGGCACAATGTGGGGTCAGGTGCAATTTTCAACACCCTCAGGTGGGAACCTTTGTGGGTTGGTCTCTACCTAGCATGGGTAGTACTTGCAGAACAAGCAGTGTGCTGGAATTTGGCCCCACAGGAAGTATTCCCCAGCAGAAGCAAATTATAAGGATTCGATCTTAGGGTGATTCTCCTGGCTAAAGCTTCACAGCCCTCCTGCTTTCCTAGATTAAGGCAGGACCAGTCTTCTAAATGTTGGCTGACATTCAGCTGGGGCAATGCCTTCAAGTACAAATGCTTAACTTCAGGCCCGTGAATACCGCTGCATGTGGCCCACCATAGCACCATCTCTGTATAACCATGTATGGGCAAGAGAGACAGCTGTAAGTAACCCAGGTCATTGGTGGTACCTTCCTTCTCCCTTTTTTCTAGTTACTGAGCAGAATGAATGGTTGTAGTGAGTTGTTATAAGTAGATTCTAGGATGAGAGCAGGTGTGGAAGTGTATCCATGCTCCCCTGCTTCCTCGAAGTATGAATTTAGGCAAGTCTCATCATGCCTCAGTCTTCCTATCTCTAAAGGGAGTTTGGGAAAGTCAGCGCATGTACCCACAAGAGAGAGTAGGTGTGCAGATCAACCAGGGTGAGATGTGCCCAGCCGGTAGTAGATTTCTGGAAAGTCAATGCTCCACTCTCCATTCACTGCCCCATTGCAAAATGCCCATCTTAGAACCTACCCTGACAGAGACCAGAAGGCAGCTTAATGTCAAATGAGATCATGTACATGATAAAAGCTTCCACATACCTTGGACTATCACATTCCTTGACAAATACTGAGTAGCTATATCAGTAAAATATTGTTCCCTCTTTAAAGATTTTCCTGCTGGATTGCAGACTTCCTGAATTAATGCAGGGAGAGGCAGCTTAAACAAGTGGTAGAGCCTAACTGACGGGCCAAGTAAAGGAAGCGGCCACCACGTTCATTTTAAGATTTATTTATACAAGCACTGTGTACAGTCAGAAGCGCAGGAGGGTGAGAGAATTCACCAGAGCCAGAGTGAGGAACAGAACAGGCAGACTGACGAAATACACTGCTAAGGGGAGCAGCAGGCAGGGCAGGAGAGGTCTGCGCGCCATGTGGGACCCTCGCCTGCAGCCGGGGATCGAACCGTTGCTGCAAAGGCTGCGGGCATCTTCGCAACCCAGTGCTCAACCACTGCGCCACCAGGGGAGGCGCACTGCCACTGCTTTCAACATCTCATGGAAGATCAACTGACTCCTTAAGCTTAATCTCTTCTCCCTTACCATCTGTAGAATAGGCTGGAACAGACTTTGGAAGAGGCCATCTAGTCCCTGCAGTCTCTTTCCAAAGACTGTGTTTTTGAGGGCCAAAGCGTATGGGGTAGCCTAGTCAGCATCATGCTCCATTAAACAGGTAACTGCCAGAAGTAGAAGAAAGAATGCCAAAAGTGAAATAAAGAATGTTCTTTTCCCTTAAGAATGGGTATGATAGGCTCCGAGGAGCTAGTGGAAGGAAAGTCTACGTAGAGTCCATTTCTTGGTTTTTCAAAAAAGAGTCACAGCGCTTAGAGATCTATCCTATACTCGCACTTTAGAGAGGGAGACAGTCCAACTGTGTGTGAGCGAGTAGGCAGCAGAACTCCTATTCCTGCTTGGTCATTCCTCCCTTCCCCCTCTGGCAAAGGAGTCCATGTGCTGAACTCAAAGTGTGGTCTGTGGTGGCAAGCAGGGCTGGTTTTGAATCCTGGCTTCACCCCTTACTTCATATGACCTGAAGCGTATTCCCCAGACTTCTGCCCTTCATTCTTCTCTTCACATGGATAATAAAAGCTACTATGCTGGGTATTTGTAAGAATTAAAAGATGCTGCTTTATGTAAATCCATCATAACATGCTTTCAGTTAATGTTGGTACCCATCCATCCCCATTCCTGTAGACACACAAAACATTACGTATTTTGTCTAAAATGTATGTTTTTGACAAAATCTCAAATGGATCTCAGTCTCCTTAACTATAAAGCAGAGGAGTTTGACTAAAATTTATTAATGGCGCACAGACCTCTCCTGCCGTGCCCGCTGCTCCCCTCAGCAGTGTACTTCGGTCCTTCTGTCTGTTCTGCTCCCCACTCTGGCTCTGGTGAATTCTCTCACCCCCCTGCACTTCTGACTATACCCAATGCTTGTATAAATAAATAAATCTTTTTAAAAAATAATAAAATAAAATTTATTAGATGGTCTTAAGGTTCCTTCCAACTTGAAAATTCTGACTCAGATAGTGTGTTTTGTTTTTCTAGTCAAGCTTATGCATGGTCTGTTTTAGACTTGTCTCATTAATTTTTCTCATTGTTGAAGTGTATAATAAATCACACCCAGAAAAAGAGTATATTTCCCAAATAGCAGTAGACAGTTTCAGCTGATCCCCAACATCTGTGACATATATCTTCCTACATATAGGGAGAGATTTTTTAATAAATCTAGAAAGCCAGGAAGTGGTAAACTAGGTAGTTATAAGTACAGTGGTCATTGTAGTAAGGAGAAGAACTTAGCCTCCATGAGCTGTCCAAATCCCTAACTTCTGAAATAAAGAGCCATTGTTAGGAATCTGTATTTGTGTGCAGGAGTGGATTTTATAAGAATGTGACTGGTTATGAGGCAGAAGCAAATTTGGTTTCCTGATCATGTCCTGATTTCCTCAGTGAATTTTAATGTATATAAGGTTTGGTTTGGGGTGTGATATTTCCCTCTCTTTGATACTATTTATTTAGTTTTTGCTGAAGGTTGAATATGGCAGTGACAAGAGGCAGGTAGAGAGAGGCAGACTCTCCTTTTGAAGGAAAAACAATGTATGCTTGTTGGTAAAGATCTTACAGACTAGGCCAGGGAGCTCTCTGCCTGTCTGAACACCTTCCTTTGACTGACAGGGTGTGACATGGAAGATAAGGTACCTTTCCTCTAGAGCACACCCTTACTTTATAGAATAGTGACTCATTCTGTTTTTTTCTGAAACAATGATTTCTAAAATGATTCATGGTTCATTCTTTGTTTTTCTGAGAATCATCTAAAAAATGAGTGTAAAATTTATAATGCTTTTGGATCCTTACACAAATTAAGAGAATTATGGCTCAGATAAGTTAATTTTCTGCTTGATCAGATTCATTTCTAAAGTTTCCAGGCATGGACCATTTATTAATCTTTGAAGTTGTCAGACTGGTTTGTGAATACTTTTGTGCTTTTAGTCTATCACTCTAAAATGTGAGTTCGAAAAGAGGCAAACACTATATTCTTATGACAGTATGACTTAAACCATAGGTTATTGCAATGCTCATTAGGATGAATTTCAACTGAGAATTATGACAGAAATATCAGAAAACATGCTACCTTCTTTCCATGTATTTTTCAAATAACTATTTAAAGGCAAACTGAGTTATTTAACTATCTAATTAAAAAATTAGTTTAGGTGAGAATTCAATGTTTAGGGCAAGTTTAAGAGAATTCCGGGCCAGCCCCCCAATAGCAGTCCACAATGATACTAAATGTATTAAAATTTAAAATGTTGACCTGAAATGAATTTTGACCTAATTTAAAAGTTTAAGGGTTTCTACTGCCTTGCTGATGTTCATGACATCTGCTAAGGAGCTGATGAAACTGAGTTTCTACTATATAATTCCTACCAGTAAGAACCCAGGAAGTGTAATCCCAAAGGTTTTTGTTGTTGTTTATTTATTAAAATGATCTTTATCTCTAAGGGAAAAATAATTACACCTGATTTTGAGTTTGTCAAACTTGTACCTGCAGATACTTCACGTAGCCCTTACTGGTTAGAATCATTGCCCTTTGTTACTTTAATCTATGAATCCCTGTGTGGATGGGTGTGGTCTTTTAGGAAAGTAATCTTTACTGTACTTTGAGATACTTCAAGGATTTGATTTTTGATCTAGCTGAACTAGTCCATGACTTCACTATAGGATCTTGTCCTCAGGAAAGCAGGTGAAGTAGGACCTGTTAACAATCTAAGAGGTGCTGGGGTTCTTGGGACACTGTCTGGATTGAGAATAGTGGAATTTGGGGCTTTCCTACATCTAATACAGAACTTTAAGTATTATGTGACAGTCATGTTTTGACCCCTGTTCATAAAGCAGGAACTTTGGGGCAGTTTTTTAGGGCATGTGATGGATTTATAAGGATTCGCCCCTCATTCAACAAAAGATGATTAACTAATGCCTGGTTGCTGGATTCTGTCCATCACTAATGGTCAACACTTGCCCGTCCAGGAGTCCAGCCTAGCCAACCCACCAATGGGTCACAGTGGGATGGGGCCTGTGAGTTTGACCTTAGTTAGCATCACCCTTTTTGAATCCTTGGAGCTACCTAGCCATGGATAGGCTGCACTTTTTCTTTCTGGGCTCTCTGGCTCTCTGGCTCTCCCTCCGCTTCTCTTGGCTAATATAAATACTGTAGCCATGGCCCACAAGAGTAAACAACAGGGCCTCCCCGGTGGTGCAGTGGGTTGAACACAGTGCTGTGACACTGTCCGCAGCCCCTGCAGTGTGGGTTCGATTCCCGGCCGGCCAGGGAGATTCCCACATGGCGAGGCAGACCTCTCCTGTCTTGCCCGCTGCTCGCCCCAGCAGTGTATTTCATCAGTCTGCCTGTTCTGTTCCCCGCTCTGTCTCTGGTGAATCCTCTTACCCTCCCGCTTCTCTGGCCTGTACCCCAGCTATTGTATAAATAAAAAATAAATCTTGGGGGAAAAAAAAAAGTACTGCCAAACAGTGGTTTTAAAAACTTTAAAAAATATAAAAGAATGAACAACAGAATTGAAAATGACAATGTAACAAAATGTAGGTACCTGCCATCAGGCATGTAATCCTAATGGCAGGAGGGCAGAAAAGCCTGAAAATTATTTACCCTACAATCCACCCCTCAGGGTTTTTTGTTATACAGTCTACATATAAGTTATATACATTTTTTTAGCAAACACTGTAGCCATGGCCCACAAAAGAAAATAGAATATAACTGAATACATAACAATGAAACAATATAACAGAACACAAATAAGTCCAGGCAGGGCACCAACCTAGTGGCAAAAGACAAGAGTATTGGCACCAGCAGATGATCAACCACTGTTGCTGCTGAAGGCACTGCTCATGCGAGGTGGGGGTGGAGTCCACAAAACCTGTATGGAGCTTGTTTAGGACATCCTTTCCCCCTAAGGCTATGAGTCTTTTCACTTAAGACTTTCTTGGCTCCAGGGCTTAGTCCCTTCCCTTCTCTGGGTCTCAGTGTATACCTCTATCCGGACATGAATTATTAACATGGCAAAACCTTCTTATAAAACCTTGCACCCCCCCAAATAAAGTATGAATTATTTTAATTAATTAAAACACAATGTGATCTTTGTTCCCTTTCTTGGAAAACTATCACTTAGAGAAACAGAAATTCAATTCCACCAAACAGGTTATATATATGGGGGATTGCTAACTGCAGACAGAATGGAGAAGGAAGACAAAGAGGACACAGATTTGCAATATTATTGTCCAAATAGGGTTTTCGTATGAGGCGGAGAGCCCAGTGTGTATTTTTGTGCACCCTGAGGACATCATTATCTAACACACACAGTAATTGATGTTCCCAGCAGTGACTAGATCATTCCAAAGAAATGGATGGTTCATGTACTTGAGACAGGAACAGTTATAATGTCTTTTTTGGTTGTCTATGATTTTGCTTTTAAGACTTCCATCTTAGGGCCTCCCCAGTGGCGCAGCGGTTGAGCACTGGGTTGCGGGGCTGCCCGCGGCCTCTGCAGCGCCGGTTCGATCCCCGGCTGCTCCCCGGCCACAGGAGGAGGGTCCCACATGGCGCGCAGACCTCTCCTGCCGCCCGCCGCCCCCCCCCCCCCCGCCCCCAGCAGTATACTTCGGTCCCTCTGCCTGTTCTGCTCCCCACTCTGGCTCTGGTGAATTCTCTCACCCTCCCGTGCTTCTGACTGTACCCAGTGCTTGTATAGATAGATAGATAGATAGATAGATAGATAGATAGATAGATAGATAGATAGATAGATAGATAGATAGATAGATAGATAAAAAAAAAAAAAAAAAAAGACTTCCATCTTAACTATCCAAATGGCTAAATGGCTCAGATGTTACTGCTATGAACAAGCTGCAGTTACCTGGGAAACTTAACTTTTGTAGAAGGACCTATTCCTCAGCAGAACCACGCATATGAAACATAACTCCAATTGAGTCATTGCCTTATGTGCCATCAAAAATGAATGATTGTCAGAGGACAGAATACAGTCAACTACTCTGACTATACCATCAGCTTAATCTCTGGGCATATCTAAACAGGAGCACTGCTCTAAAATGTATTTCCAGTGATCGTGCATTTCCAAAAACTGCACCATTTCACTTCTGACAATTGAAGAACAGTTTGATGAAGTGCACAGGTTATGGTGAGAGGCCTCTGAGGCTGTAGAGGACAGGAGGTTATGCTGCCACAGACATGGGTGTGGGTGAGTTGTAACCTTAACCATCTCTGTCACCCCCAGTGTCCTGAAGGGAAAGCCGGCGTTGGGATGGATCTCAGTTACTTATCAGTTCAACTACCTAGAACCAGTGGTCAGCAACTCTGTAAAGAATCCGAGAGTAAATACTTCAGGCTTGAGAGTCACCGTCTGTCACAACTCCCCATTCTGCCATTATATTGTAAAAACAGATGTTGGCAGTACCTGATCAAATGCTCTGGCTCTGGGCCAATAAATTGGCTTAGCGTTTATATAGTAATTGTGGGGACATCAGTCATATACATACAAATCTCTGCAGCAGTGGGAAATTCAAGAGAATGATCTGAAGTTTATCAAAATGTTGAGCTTTAATCAGGTTATGAATCTTTGTGGGATTTTAGCTTTTGACTGGTTTGGTTTGGGTTGAATAGTTTAGAATTTTAGAATTTGCTGACCATAGGTCAAGTCCCAGATTTCCCTGGTCTGTGATCTGCTGCTGTCCTTCGTTTGGCAGCTGAGAAGGCCTCCCCTGCATCAGGTGTCACCAGCAGCACTAATCGCCACTGTCTTCTGGAGAGCACAAGGTTGCTTTATTAAAACATGCTTGAGGTTATTAGAAAATTTTCTAGTTGATGGACCATGGCTGTTCTGTATGTGTTATGATTTTTTGTTCCTTGTGATTTCTTGTTCCCTCGCTCCCACTACAGTGTGCCCGGAATGTGATAGTCACTCGGAGTGTTTGGTCAGTGTTCCTTTGCACAGTTACACAGTATACATTTAACTGCCTCTTGGCCCTTAATTCTCAGCCATCCCAGGGGCAGGCAACCCTGGCCTTATTCTTGCCTTATTGGTCCGTGCAACTTTGAGTCTAGTGTGTCATTTTGAGTGGTAGTTACTGTTCTGCCCTCAGCTTTCCAGACGCCTCTTTATTTTCCATGTTGGTGCCGTTTTCAACCCAGGTGCCCTTTTTTTAATAGGTCAGGGGGGTGTGAGGACAGTGGAGGAAAAAGGAAAATGGGTAAAAAGGGTATAAAGAACCCGGCACAACCACTTCACAACCACAAGCTTGCACTTGTCCTTCAGAGCCACCATCTTTTGAAAAAACACATTTAGCCAGTGCTGCTCTTGAATGATTCCCACTGCTGGGAAGTTACTTGAGTTCTCAAAAGACAGATGTCACTTAACTATGCTACAAATAGCTTTTCCATGGCACCTGTATCTGGTGAGAAATCTAATTTGTGATGCCCGGCCACTGAGTTTAAGATAAAGAATTGAAGGAAGGAAATCTTGTACTTGCTCTGTCCTGCAGCATGTGCTGTGGACGGACTTTAGTTTTTGATTCTTCATCGCTCTGTTGCTGTCTCAGAGACTCCTGCTGCAGCTGTGAGGAAGAAAGGCACGTTGCTCAGCACTTGTTTCTGAAGGAATGAATGTCTTTCCAAGAGAGAATCCGGAGCACCATCTGTGACTCGTACCGGGTGTTCCAGCATGTAGCATTCAGCAAGCACCTCCAGGCCCTGGACCCTCCACCAGCCCCATGAAGAGGGGGCTGGGGGTGGGATGTGGCATTTTCATAGATGAGCCCCTCAGCCAGGCATGAGAAAGTATCTTTGGGCTCATTGTCCCTACTTTGCCCCATCACCCACATGGGGAGCAGACCTCAGAGATGCTCATATTCCGAGAAAATAACCCATTTTGTCCATAAAACTAAAAAGCCTGGCTTGTTTCAAGAATGTCCCCCATCCTCGTCACTGTTTTCCCTTTATCGTTAGCTAATCCAGTACGGTGAGGTAGGATGTCTTAAGGGTTGCAGTTTAAGGCCAATCCTAGGTAACCACCACTTTCCTGTTACCCCCAAACAGCCTCAACGTATGGGGTCAAGAGAGTTTTACCAGAAGACTTGGTGCTCAGCAACCCCTTCCCAAACCTGTGCCTTTGTCCAACATGTAAACATATCTGTGGAGACACTGCCTAGCCAGTGGGTCCTTAATGAATGAGAAGACCTGGGTTTCAGTCCTGCCTCTTAAATTGGTATGTTGCTGCCAGTCTGATCTTGGCATTTGCCCTAGACAGCCCCCTTCTGTTAGCCACCATGTAAAATGTAAAGGCTTTGGCCCTATTTCACAAGGGCTAAATTACCTCGGGAGTTAATTTAGGCACCTTTCCACAAAAGGTTTCCACATAAATACTCATAGCTCCCTTTAGAAAGATAATTCTTTCATGTCTTCTTGATGACAAGACAACATCAAATTTCTGGGTTCTTTCCTCTTTCTCTTCCAGATGCCAGTATGGACAGAATAGCTTATGATGCTTATCCCCACCCACCACTTCCGAGACATTGAGCGGAAACCAGAATACCTCCAGCCGGAGAAGTGCGTCCCACCTCCCCATCCCAGTCCTGTGGGAACCATGTGGTTTATCCGAGACGGCTGTGGCATCGCCTGTGCCATCGTCACCTGGTTTCTGGTCCTCTATGCAGAGTTTGTGGTCCTCTTTGTCATGCTGATCCCATCCCGAGACTACGTGTACAGCATCATCAATGGAATTGTGTTCAACCTACTGGCCTTCTTGGCTCTGGCCTCCCACTGCCGGGCCATGCTGACGGACCCCGTGAGTATGTCTGGGCTTGTTTTGACCAGCCCACACTCTCCTCTGGCCCTGGCATGGCCACCGCCTGCATGAGTCCCCTGACCTTGGGAATGTGGAGAACTGGAGGGCTGGGGTTAAGGTGGGAAACTGGACTAAGGCCCTACTGAGGGAACACCATCTGGACCACAGCCTATCTGTCTTGGTGGAATGAGACCAGATGTACTCTGAGGTATTTGTTGATTGCGCCTGCTCTGTGGGAGGGGTTTGCTGTAGGGGAAACTAGCCTCTAGTTAGAAAGGCACAGTCAGATAACGGTGGAGACTGGAGCCAGATGATCAGAACAGAAAGCATGTTGGGGGGTTGGGTCAGGACAGGGCTGCTCAGTGGAGGTAGGACTGGAGCTAGGTGGATTTGAAATTAAAGCCATATCCAATTCCAGGAACCTGCACGGAAATGGCCTTCACTTTGTTTGGGCGAGGCTCATCTTTTCCTGAAAAGCTGGACAAGCCTGTTTCAGGCCGCAGCAAGTGCCTCTTGGTGAATATCAGTGGGTAAAGCGGTGGTGTTCTGCCCGATGACTTAGCTAAATACACCAAGCTGTGCAAGTGGCTATTGAATGTTGTGTACCCTGGTATTAAATCCTCCATTCCTGTTCATTATCTCGTATGGGAAAAGCAAGAGAGTGCGTTATTTGATAAAGACCGCCGATGGCTTAATTATCTCAGTGTGTTGGACAAGTGTGTTTAAATTAAGAGAGGGAGAGTACTGCTAATGGTGTGGCCCTGGCCACACAGATTTCATGTCTGTGAGCCCCAGGGAAAGCACAGTAACAGTGATGGGTCCTGAACTAGTTTCCTTCTCCAAAGGCTCCATTTCCTGCTGGCTCAGCTGGTGAATTGTTAATCTGTCCCAAAGGGAAGCCGCTTTCCCAGCTCAATTTCATGCCAGCAACCTGTCCAGACAGTGCCTCTCCTCATGCACGTGCCTCAGGAGATCACACACACCAGCAGGCAGGGCTTCTTGGCCTCGTGTTAGTGCCACCTCTGGGATCAGAGTAGCATGCAGGAAATGAAGTGCATGACTATGGCCATATGTGCACCCAAACAAAAGGGCATAAAAGAGTTTTCCATCAGTGACACTTTGATCATGTTGAAAATAAGTTAAAGGTTTATTCAGAAATTTTTATGATGCCCTTGCTGTTGGAAATATAGAAATAAAAGATACTGTTTTGCTCACCCCCAGACACTGTTCACACCCTCAAGGTGCCCAGCATCTAGAGAAGGCAGGTGAGACTAGTCCTATGTGATGGAGGCCATCACACTGGCAAAGGGGAGCACCATTGCTGTGGGAGAACAGGGAGGGGGTATCAACCTACCGAGGCAGGAGTGACTGCTCAGAGGAGGGGTGCCCCAGCCGGTTCTTCTCAGAGCTGTGGCTGTTGGCAGGGAGGTGGAGGGCGGCAGGGCAGGAAGCTAATGACAGTGCTCCAGGCAGATGAGCAGCCTGCAGAGACAGGAATGCAGGGGTTGTTAGGAACAGTAGGAACTTAGAAATGGGTTTAGATTGGTGGTGTATAGGGGGCACCAAAGGAGTAAGGTTGGGATGATGAGGGCAGTCGATAGCCCCCCCCCCCAGGATTTTAAATGAAAGAGTGATGAGCTCAGATTGTCATTTTACAAGGATTGCTCTGGCAGCAATGAGAAGGATCTCTGGGGATCAGAAGCCCTGGTAGATGGAATACTATGTCAGAACTTCTTTTCTGAGTAAGACAGACCACAGTCCTGGCTCACATCCTAGCCGGGGGGTCAGGTAGTAAAGATGTGCTTGATCAAGGTGATTTCAGGGTGTGATCCATACTTTAAAGATGGTAAAACTCTGTGATCAAGGTGATATGGTGATGACTGTTCTGGGGTAAAAGGGACTACTTTAGATCAAGGGAATCTGAGGCAGCCTCTCTGAGCTAGTGCCATTTTCAGTGAGACCTGGACGACAGGAAGCTATGAGTCAGGCAAATGGAAATCTGATGGCAGAGCCATCCAGGCAGGGGAAAGAGTAGGTACAGAGGCCCAGAGGCAGACACTTGTTGGCAGGTCTGAGAAGTAGGACTAAGACAGGGTGACTGAGGCATGTAGGTGGAGGCAGAAGGGACTAGACAAGGCAGAGAGGCTACCAGAAGCCAGATCGGGCAGGGCCATGTAGGCCTCATGAGAACTTTGGTGTTTATTCTAAATGTAGTAGGAAGCCATCAGAGAGCAGGATGTAGCCTGATTTTTACAGACAATGCCTTGTGCTCGTGGTGGAACTTTGAGGGTGGGACAGCTCGCAGCAGGGGAGGTAGTGCCGCTTCCCACAGCAGACGTGGGAGCGCAGACCCAAGAGGAGCGCAGAAGCCGGAGAGAGGCTGCTAGTTTGGGAGTATATTTTCAGTCACTAATTCTTAAGGCTGGCTGCACATTAGAATCCTTTGGGGACCTTTTAAAAAGTACTGATGTCTGAGCCCCACTCCGGAAATTCTATTTTTAATTGGTCTGGGACAGGCCCTCGATATTGGGATGCTTCAGAGCTCCCAGGGGTCCCTCTGTTCAGCCAGGTCTGAGAACCACTTCAGAAAAGCTAACAGAATGGAGAGGGTTAGGAAAGTATCCCTTCCAGAGTCTTTACTTGAGTATCTGGGGGGACTTGCTGGTGCAATTTATTGCATGGGAAAGTCTGGGGAGAACAAATTTTGGAGGAAAAATCAAGGCTTCTGTGCTAGCCACACTGTATCTATAGTACATACCATCGACAGCCAGGCCTGGAGCTAGTGGAGCGTTGTTAGAATCAGAGTGGAGTATAGAAGTGGTTGGATTCTAGAAGGCATGAGAATGCAAGAAAAGGGAGAAAGGAGGCTTCCACCCTGGCATTCCTGCTGCATTCTTTCACCCCTCAATTGATGCGGCAACCTCTCCAGGGACCTCCCCAGACTGACCCCCTGCAGTTGGTTGGATGCCAGAGAGAGCAATTCTCACTGTGGTCTGTTGCTCGACTTCTAACACCAAATGAGTGAGAGCCATAGACCCGCTCACAAACACCTGTCTGCTCTGCATAGGTGTGTGTGTGATTGGTGGACCCAGAGAAAACTGGGCCAAAAAAACCCGAAGCATCTGTCAAATTTTCACCATTAGTAAGGGGCCAACTCAGAGCATGTCCTATGGATGTGCTCTTCTCAGACCATTCATGCTGCCGCCTGCCTTGCTACTCAGTACATGAGGTCATATGTAAAACCCAGTATGCAGAGCAAATGAGGGGAGCTACAGGGATGGAGTCCCTATAGCATTGGAGGCACCTTGAGTTTCCAGGGAGCATTAATGGGGGTCCAGATCTCACACTGAAAGCAGATTAATTAGGGGTTCCTTATTAACACTGCCAGGGGGCAGTCTGTTTTTAGAAAGGCATCGTTGCAGGGTTCTAAGGAGTTCCTTAATAGGATTATGGTTTGTGTCTCAGGAGTTCATGTTGCCTGTAATTCTTCAGAAGAACTTATATCCTATGGTTATAAACAATATATATATAACATAATATAGGCATTGTGGGTCATTTGGGTTTGTTAGTATTCTAGTAGAAAAATGTCTGTTGTAGGCAGCTCTCCTTGAGCCCAAAACTGCACGGCTACATCAGTGCAGGCGCCTCTTTTAACAAACCCATCCCTTTCAAATGCTGTTCTTTCTGCCTGCTGGTATCTGTGCATCTTCTGCTTTCCTCTTTTGGTTATAAACCTGCCCTTTTGGATATAACCAAAAAAAGTCTCTTACAGTCTTCCCTAGTTACTGTACCACTTCCAGCTTTGAAATCTTATTCCAAATGTGTCATCAGAACAGGTGCCTCCACCCCAGCTCTCTGGACCATTGAGCAGAGCTGACTCCGATGCAGTCTTGAATGGGGTTCACCTAGCGCTTGAGCAGAAAAGACAGAGGAATGACTCACTATTGTGTCAGCCACTCCCTCCAGAGTAAAACTCTCTTTTGAGATATGGAGTAAAGAGATTGGCCCATAGAGAGGGGAGCGAACTGAGGCAGTGCCTCCCTTGGCTGGTGGGTTGGCCTGGTGTGTGATCTCATGGTGCCTCTCCCTGCCGGCTCTGAGGTTGTGGGATGTCATCAAAGGAGCCATCTCCATTCCTGAAACACCAGAATTGAGGCCCAGAGTGGTGCCACTGGCCCAGAGACAACCTGGACGCATCTCCTTTGGCATCCGCCTACACCCCGCCCCCGCCCAATTTCACCACCTTTTCCTTTCCACATCCTGTGAACTCCCTCAGGAGTCCTGTGGGGTACCCTTTAAAATTTAGGTCTGGGCTGTAAAACATAGTTTGTTTCTTGCCCTAGTGCCAGGAAACTCAAGGACAAGTGCTTCTCGGGTCACAGAGATTGTATCAACACTTATAATCAGCATTTCTTTGCCCCTCCCTTCTTTTGACTTAATCATTTATTGACCTCGTTGTAAATTATCTCAAGCCTCAAATTCAAGAAAAGGAGGAATTCAATGTAACCACATTGTTAAGGAAAATGAATCTGTCAGCCCCTCCCTCCCTTGGAGTCCCACCCTGTGTACACTTTGCTATAAACAGGCCTCACGTTACTCAGACAGATCACTGCAGCCACTGATATTTTTTTTTTTTAGTTTCAGCTGCCAAAATTCATCAGTGGAAATATCAGGACCCACTTCAAATGTGCAATCAGTATTCCCTTCTGGAATCTCTCTTGGCAAACTTTTTGAGCACACACTGCGTACAGAATCGCTAACAAGTACAATATTTCCTCAGGCTTTAGCTTGGCAATGTGATTTCAGACCTGCAGGAGCACAGAAGAGGAAGAGGAGGTCAAGTAACCACTAGAGGCTGAGTGCTGGGTGTAACCAGACAAGGGCCATGCCCATCTTGCTCCAAGGTACTGGCACATCAGGTGCCAGGTGGGGGACTTGTCTCGAGGCTGGGTGCTGTGTTCTCCCTAGAGCTGGGCACCTTCTCATACCTGCCACTGAGC